CGAGTAAGATAAGATAAGTTTGGCGCAGCTAAGCACGCTCAGAGATTTCTCAGAGATGTGTAAGTTTTGAGAATGAAATTAAGGGAAACAAGAGTTCCACAAAGAGCAAAGGGCAAAACTTGAGTTAAAAGTTGGAAAAGTTAAGACGACCTAATAGAAAAGTGGAATCCATGTTGCCATTAATTAACTTAAGTGGGAAAACCACACAGAATAAAGTTATACGGTCAACCAACGATGGAAGGTTGAATGAGAAAGAAACCAACGAAGATTGGGAACCCAGTTAAAGACACCTTTAAGCCAAAGAGAAGGAATTACATTTATTTGGCTGAAATGAGATGCAAAACGATTACAAGTGAAGCTAATTTATGAAAAGATTCAAATATATATACATGTATATGAAAATCACAAATCACATAAATTGAAAAGCCAAATCGAATAAAGGACAAAACTTCGATTTGAATGCGATATTTACCGCAAGGAAATCACTTGATTTTTGATAAGAATTAACGTGCCACTCGCAACAGGGGCACGCCAGACCATGGGGGGGCAAGTGACTACAAGGATGTTGGGGAATGTGCTGAGGATTAAATTTTGATGAGACGATTTCATTTTGATGTTAAGCATAATTTGTAAAGTCTGAACGAGAGCCACAGGCCACATTGAATGGACTTATTAGTCAACTAAGTGTATCCTGTATCCTCAGTAATGTGGGGGGGGGGCATTGCCATGGGGCATGGAACAAGGCAGGGGCAGGTCAGCTGAAGAGGGCGATTAGTGGTAGCAGTGTCTGGCACAGTGTGTATGTGTGTGTGTGTGTGGGCAGAGAAGGGACTCATAATTAACCTCAGCAAGCTCGGGCGAGAAGTGTCGCTTTGGGAATATTGCGCATACGCCGCGTGCTGCTGCCACTTAATTTTTTTGTGCCTTGTTGCTTGTGGCGAGGCAATCTTTGACCTGCTCCCATCGCAATACGCAATAATGATGATAAGTCTTCCTTGCGAGATTGAATATGCACTTGAATAAACGCACTGCTGTTTGTATTAAGCACAAATCGTACTGTTATCAAAACTTGACGTTGATTTAAGTACAACCATCTATAAGTTTGCCTCAGTGTATGCGGCTGGTCTGGTTGGTCTTTCGTCTTTGCTGTTTTGTTGCTTGGTATCTAGTGCTTAGTGTCTGGGGTACTCACAAGGGAAACGCACAACTTTGACAAGTGGTTACCATTTTTTAATGTCACATTTTGTGGCCACGCAGCACTTGATTGGGAATGCCGGGGCGAGGGATTGGATGGGAGAGGGTGTACTGGGTACTGGGTACTGCTTTTTACTGACCAATGAAGCGTAAATTTTAAAAATTGTAATCAATAGTAGCAGAAATTGAGCTAGCTGCTTGTTTGCTGGCCTAACTGTTTATCTGCCACATGGAATGCTTCATTGACTTTTATGTTAAGGGACAAACAACAACAACAACAACAACAACAGCATCAGCAGCAGTAGTAGCAGCAACAAATACGATACATTTTCTTGGGGTTTTGGGGGAGCAGTTTGTGAGTTTTAAATTTCAAATATCCTGGTCGACATATGGCGTTTGAATATTCCAATAATATTCATAGGTTTATGCTCAAATATTCAAGTGTTCGTTCGACAGTTATATTTTTGACTAAGCAAAAGGTAATTGGGTAAATGGGGACCAATCGATAATTATCGATTTTAATTATCCATTGCTGTCAATAGTTATAATTAAATGTAATTATTAGTTCGTTTTCGTGATTCGACATCGATTTTTGTCGATGGCACGGGGTTGTTGGCTGTTTTTCCAAATTCGAGAATACGGTTAGCGCTAACAATAATGCTCCACCTCTACACGACATCCAAAACAATAATATACTTACTTACGGATTGTACAACATGTTGAACATTTTCGACATTCACATTCTTAGCGTATCGCGATTCTATTTTGAATCTGCATTGACTTATGTTGAACAGCTTATAAATAATAAAACAATTAATTCAAATATAAGACAGACAATAGCTACTTTTTGTGTAAGCAATCCAATAAATAGGAAAATAGATCCAAAATTGGTACATTTTTCTTTTCTATTTTGCTAAATGCTTTCAATTATATTAAGTGTACTAATAAGAATTCCTAGAAATAATAATATTGACATACTCTTCAAAGCAGCGATACAGACACAAAATACTCTAACATTCGCCGCATACGTAACGAATGTTGCAAATGTTCGTACTGTAAACATTCAAGAATGTAAGAGATACCGCCTATTAATCTAGTACATCTATCTAGAGCACTGAGATAGGTATGCGGAATATCGTTGTACCTGCCTCCCTTAATGAACCCATAAAAATAGTATACCAGTGTATAAATGCTGTATGTCAATATTATGTATATACTCTACTCATATGTATATATACAAATATATACAGATATATATCGCACAGCAGCACAAACAGCTCATAAACTCTGAGAGCTCTGAGGGGGGAGGCAAATAGCAGTTTCGGGGCTAAAACTCATAAAAGTTCCTGCTCGCTGTTGTCCGCGCAAACTAAGCCGTTTAAGCGGCTGCGGCACAAAGTGTTAAGACTTTGTTTAACCTGTGACGCCCTCGCCCTCGCCCTCGCCCTAACGCCTCCACCACCAGCCAATGGCAGCGAGCGTTGAAATGTTTGAATGTTTTATAATTACATTTTATGCGAGAGAGCGCGGAAGAGAAAAGGAGAGAGAGAGAGAGAGAGAGAAAGAGAAAGACTTGCTGTCTTTGCTCTGCTTTGCTCGCTTATTGCATATTGTGCTCGGCTTTGCTTACACGTTATTCGCGTACACTCAAAGAAACAATAACACTGTTTCAATTCCTGATTGATTCAAAAATTAACCATTTAATTTTGCAAATATTTTATATGCAAATCTTTTTAATCTTCATTAATGAACGTCGATTCTCTATCTAGCTGATTTAGTGACATTTTCAAATATAAACTTAATATCTTAGTAATCAAGCCCGCGACTGTTTCAATATGTGGACAATCATAATTAACATCAACAATTATTGTTTTATTTTATTATGTTGTTGAATTTCAAATGAGAAAAATATACTTACTTGATTACAAAGAAACGCTTTTGAAATAAGAATATCATTTGGTGTTTGTACTTAATTTGAGCACAGTTTACTTTTATTTAACTATGTCAAATTTAAACGAATCAACTAAGTAATCAGGTGCTGAATTTCGAAACGCAACTGTTTGAGTATCATAGCATGTCAATCAATCATCATATCTTAAAACAGACGTTTATCTTGGTCAATCTTTTTTTTTTGGCTGAGTGTAGGCAGCCTTTTAATGTTGTCGAGGAGACAACAGGTGCAAGGGCGGCACCCGACCAAGGACATGCGGTGGCTTATTTGGTTTTTGGAGTTTTATTGAATGTTTGCTTTTTTGGGACTGCGTTTACGTAATGGATTTTGTTTTGTAATTGCATGAATTTTATGTGTTCGCCCAACTTCCGCCTTTTAATGGTCGTTTCCCATAAGCCTTTGTCTGCTTTTGTGCAGACTGTACTTACTAGCTGACAGCACTTTAATGTCAATGCACATAAATCAAACCCCATCGAGCACCTTGATCAGAATCTTATCTGGTTACAGCTCGACCAGCTAACCAGCTAAGCAGCTCAGCTCAGCTGCTCAGCTGCCCAGCAGCGTTTTTGTTTTTGTTTTAATAAATTTGTTTGCCATTTGGGGTCGACGAACATGTTTCAGGTTCAGTCCCAAAAACCCTCAACTCACTTTTTCAGCGAGTGCGGTAACCGTAATAAATCCCGATGTCTGTTTAACGAATGTGAATTGTTAGACATAAAATGAAAGGCATGTTATGAATGCGGCTTACAAGTTTTGCAGTTTACATCCCTATCCCATTTCCATTTCCCTTTCCATTTCCATTTCCCCTTTGCATTTCCATTTCAATTTCCAATGTCCAATATTGAATCCCTCTACTCTTTATCTGTATCATTGTTTCAGTCAACAGCTGTTTATTTGTGTGATTGAGCTGAATAGCTCGTTGTATTTGCCAACGGTAATCGGATTGATAAACATTGATGCATCTACTTCTATTGTACGCACTGTGTTGGCCTGTCCTTTGGGTTCGTTAACAATAATAACAAGCTCATGCTGTACTTGTTGACTTAATCCCGTCTAATTAGCTCCTGAGTATATGATTGACTGCGACTATGCGAATGTACGTTGATAGACAAGTTGTTAATGCGTAAGTAATTCGCTTATGATTGTTGATAAAATGAGATGATTATTAATGGGTTGATTGATTACGATTAATTTACAAGTTGTTTATACGTCAGTAATTTGCATATCAAGTATTTTAATGTGATGATTGACAAGTGATTGATGAGAAGTATGCTGATTGATTGTGATTGATAGAAAAGAAAATATAAATCTGATAATTATCTGATTTGGTCCACAGTCGGATTGACGAGATAACAGTCAAATAATCGGCTGTTTGGTGATTGACTACTAATTTATGGAGGCATACACATTTAATTCATGTTGATTTACTGCACTTGCGTGGCTAATTAGTTCATAAAGCCGACTTAATGGTTCATCTCTGATGTGTTTTAGTTGATGGCCGTTTGGCTGATGGTTGATGGATTAATGACATCAATCAAATCAACAATTAGTCGCTATGTTTAGCAATTCAACATGCTGTTAACTTTACGAACTGCCCAAAATATAAATGCTGTTGTCTGCTCATGCGGCATGCGGCATGCGGCATTTGTGGCAAATTCACAACTTAAGGGCAACTTAATACCAGCTTTGTATGCCATTGCACAATTTACGTATAATTTGATGCCTAATTAAAGCAAACATGCGTGCAAAATGTCTCTTTTAATTATCAATTCGATGAAATGCTGTATACTATTGTATATTGATGACGACCATTGACTAATCTTTTGTAAATGCTTCTTATCGTCCGCAGGTGACAACAAAAACAACAGCAACAACAACATCTACTTGTAAATAAAGTGACATGAGGCCTAAACAACAACACCAACAACAACAGGCAGCAGCAGCACAAAAAACCCAAATCGCAAACGATTAAAAAACGAGCACAGCGAAGGATCCTCGAAAAAAAAAAAAATAAAACATAAAGACGAAAAAAAAAAACACCTCAACAAAGAACAAAAAGGCAACATACGAAAAATACGCGAACAAAGCAACCCAAAAACTGAACAGCGTCGGCCGAAGAAACAAGCCAAACAGATACCCCCCAGTAGGCAGCCGCCTACACCACCCTGCCTCCCTCACCCACCCAACCTACTCGCTCCAAACCGCCCACCCGCAAAGTATAACTGCAGCTTCCAACTTCAGCGGGCGATAAAGAAACCCAACAAGCAGAGCAAACAAAAAGTGCGCATTGTTTTTGCCATTGTCATTCAACTGGCCTACACCCACCACCCCCTACCCCACACCCCACCCCTCCAGACCCCTGCAAGGCCCCCGTCCAGATCCCAACGCATCACTCTGCTGAGAGAGTGTCAACAGTGTTGGGCTTATTGTTCGAAACGCCTTTGGGCACTCAATTAAGCCCCCAATTCAAGGCAAGCAAGTTGAAAGCTTTGACAAGCCTTGCCACGCCCCCACACCCTTAAGTGGGTGCTGAGGTGGCTGAGGTTGGTGAGGTACACACACAAACACACACACATACACGAGACGAGGAGCGGAGAAGAGAGGAGAGGCAACGAGTGGGGTGGTGGAGAGTTGGCCCTAGTCAGCCCTGGCATTTGAGTTGATGTGACAATGAAACTGAGCGTCAGCGCGTATCGGGCGCATGCATCCGCACATAAGAAGATCCTCTCCAGCGGTTATCATTCGCAGCTCAACTACGGCAGCACTGGAGCCGCCGCAGCATCCTCATCATCATCGGCGGCAGCAGCGGCGGCAACTGCAACGGGCCTATATACGGTGAGTACAAACCCCAGTACAATCCTAGACTCTAATCAACTTGAATCGAAAAAAAAAATGCCACGTATAGTTCCACACTGACTCAACTTGAATTCAAAGCCCAGACTGAATCAACTCGAAGCAAAAATTGGACTAGATATAGCTCAACAGAAGCACAGACCCAGACTGAGACTAGATATCGCTTAACTCAGTCCCAGGCCCAGACTGAATGAATTCGAGTGAAGAATTAGCGTACTTAATTGTTAATACTTACCTCAAGCACAAAGTACAAGCTTTTTAATGTGTATTTGATGCTTCATTTATAAGGAGCACCTTTTTTTGTTAGAGTGCAGACTTTATTACTGCTGCCCAGTCCGCTTTCGTCCTGCAACATAAACAGCATCATTAAAGCAAACCAATTCTTTGTGGCCCATAATTTCATTTAATGTAACTTTTTTGTTGTTGGCCCCCCTGGGGTTAGCTAACCTTATGGGTCAATCGATTAGATTTGGTAGCTGATTGAGTGCCTAGTCGATGGAAGCGGACTAGGCAGATGAGTAACGATAATAACGATGAATTTCGAGAGGCTTTATTGACCAAAATTTATCTCTCTCTCTCTCTCTCTCTCTCTCTCTGACGAAAATATGATAAAAGTTAAAAAGAAGTTAGGCTAGGAGATACCCTGAGCTTAAAGAAATCATTATCGAGTTCATGATATAGAAACGCATTGATTTTAAAAATCAGTTCGGTTGAAGTAAACAAAGGTTGAGGTATATTTAATTACATTCGTTCAATTAACAAATAATTCAACTGCATTTATATAATTTTAGCTTTTTGTTGCAGTGGAGCTTGAAGCCACTTCCTTATCAGTTATCCGACTTAAATAAATATATTGTTTGTCCCAAATTCAGTCGAATTATTCAAAATTCTGTCTTTGCGCTTACTTGTCTTACCTTACTTTATTTTTCGGAAATGCGTTAATCGATCTGTCAATCATCAAGTCAATCGCTCAGTTAGGCCGGATAGTAGTTTAAATAAATATCAATATATTCAGTCGATCTATCAAAAATTCTGTATTAGAGCTTACTAAGATACGTGATACTTCATCTTATCTTACCTTATTTTTTAGGCTTTATTTTGATTACCAGTCAGTCAATCAAGCCGTGAATCTATCACTCAATACGCCACTCAGCTAGCTAGCCCGTACAAATTGTTATACTTCTATACAATTATTATTACTTATAGAGAAACTTAAATGTTGACTATGCGAATTGGTTACTAATGTTCTGTGAGATAAATTAAATCGAAATCGAAATTGATAAATCATTTAATTTCAATTCAACGGCATTTTCCATTAGAGTATTTGCCTTTCGTTTTGTTTGACTTTGGGGTTTTTGTTTTTGAGTTCTTGAGAATAAATGTTTATTAGACAATATTGTGTAAGGGGGAAATCGATGTACTTTATATGTACTTCAATATCATAAAAAATGTGCACAAATCGCTGGCATGCAGTCATGCAGAAGTTGTGTGTGTGTGTGTGTGTGTGGAAGTGCTTATGCTACAGGATATGGGCAAGGATATGGGTCGTAATCGTGAAAGTACTACTTGTATAAATGAATGGACACTTTCCGGGCATATCCAATTTGAAATCAATTTCAAGGAAGAGAAAGAGAGCTGGAGACACGAAGAGAGGGTGAGAGAGTGAGAGTGAGAGAGAGAGTGAGAGAGAAAGGGAGGGAGTAAGCTGGAGAGTGCGATATATGCTTTCACTTTTTAACCACATAAAGTTGGGATCGTCAACATATTTATGGAATGGTCGCCGTTGGGTATATTTTACAGCTGGCACCAAAAGTCCGTCTAAAAGCCACAACGGATTCCAATCAAGTTCTGCGGCACACTTAATTGCCGAAATATACCCCAGAATTGCTCAACCCCAACCCCCCTTTCTCCCTTGCGCAACACACACAATCAAATTTCCAATCCCATTGGCTCAATGGAGTAAATGAAATGTTATGTTTAAATGTATATGTTATGCGGTTAGATGCCCCATTAGGGAACACATAATTCACACACACACACACACACACACACACACACAGAAAGAAATCTTGTGTGCATTTCATCAGTTTTTAGCAATTAGGCACACAATGTTTCCCATTCCCTTCGCCCATCTAAAAACCGCACAGATTGCTTCTTCGGCTTGGTAAATGGGTTTATTATTGTGTCAGACTTGTGAACTTAAAATATCACTTAAATATTTACTGCAAATTCGTAATGATTCCTATACTTGATACAAAACGTATCAGTGTATATTGTCCGTCCTGTGTGTCTGTCAGGCTGTCCTTGAAACATGGAACATATACAGGTCTGTGACCGTGTCAGACAAAGTGATAAGATTGGAGTGCTACGTCCACTAGGAGGCTACAAAAAAATCTCGATAAAGCACAATTTTAAAGCTAAACTCACAAAATTTGTTTTGGTAGGTTGTAGACGATGTCCTTCAAAGATCGGCATTGGCCAAGCTTAGCTATAGTCCGAGATTTTGGAATAAATTTGAATTTTCGGTACATTTTTCATATATTTGAGAATGAATTCGAAATTCGGTTCTTTCAAACATTTGGAATTTTCAAAATTTATGCCTGATTGTGGACGTGTTTAATTAGTGGGATCAGAAATGTCTCCATTCACACACACACACACACACACATGCATATATATATTTAAACACACGTTGCAGGTGACAACTGAGCTTGTTGTGCATTTAGTAGTTAGTCAACTTGCATTAGGGGACACTTTAAATGCGCTTTCAAAAGTATTATAGAATAATAATTCAATATAACGCCTTCATGGCCACTATAACGATCATGCTCAAGTCAACGTCGAAGCTCCCACTCCGACACTGGGCGCATAATAATTAAAATTAAATTTTGATTACTCCTGGCACGCAGCCGAAAAGTATTAAAACTTTTACTTCAACAGACTGTTTATGTGTGTGTGTGTGTGTGTGTGTGTGAGAGTCTGAGGGTGGGGGGAGCGAAGCGTCGCTGGGTTAAGCGAGAAGCAAACTTATTATGAGACGGCGTCACGTTGCAAGGAATTTAACTTGTGCCCTCGGTGTTGGCCATGGAAACGAACCCACTGAAATATCATAGGCAAGCTTTTAAGCTTTAAGTTTTTGACAGCGTAAAGTAATCAACAACTTATACGATATATATAACTATTTTATTGGAATTCCATTTGCCCTCCTCTGTCAAGTCTGAATTGTCGTACATTGAAACCGAAATCGGAATTGGAATCGATTAAAATACACAATCGGATTCGGAATAGGCATTTAAATTCAGCATTCGAGTACCGGATCTGATATTAAGTAGATCATTATAGTCGGACCCGTTACTTAGATATTCAAGCCGATTTACGGGAAATAATACATTGCCAACATTGCTACATCTCTAGCTCTTAGATTTCTTCGATTTTCTTTCTGTGTCGATGTGTTATGTGTTATCCACTTGCTGGGGATCAATGGGTATGCTGTGTATATCTATATATATATTTTTATCCTTATTTATTGTTATCGTATATGTGAGTGGTCTCTGCGTGGGGTTCAGTTACCAAATATTTAACATGTGTTCATTTTATTGCCCAGTAGCGAACTTGTTAAAATCATATTCATAATTGAACACAATATGAACTGTGTCTGCTTTAGCTAGGCAACTTGTATGCATATGAATACTAACAGTCTCACTTTTGTTCTGTTCTTTTTTTGGGGGTGGGTTGGGGTTGCCGTCGCAGATGGAAACGCATGAGCATGGTGGCAAGTACGCAAAGGATATGTCCAGGCTTGACTGCAACAGCGACACGGACGTCATCAGTCCAACGGGCACCAGCAGTTCTGGCGGCGGTGGGGGTGGAGGCGGAGGCGGAGGCGGAAGCGGCGGTTGTGCACAAGCGGAATGCGGCGGCAGCAGCAGCAGCAGCCATCATCATAAGCGTCATCACAAAAGCGGCAGCGCCTCAGCAGCGGCGGCAGCAGCAGCGGCGGCCAACAACGATGATGACAACAACAGTGCGGCACATTCGTCCGACAGCAAGAGTCCCAGTCAGCGGTAAGTGCAACACACACACTAAAGCAAACACTCACAAAACCTCACACACACACACACACACAGACGTACTCACATACATTCACACTCACTCGCACACACACACACACACACACCCATTGAAAAGTACATGCAGTTATGTGTACGAATTCGTAACTTTTGTCAAGTGACAAGTTAAAAGCTTGACAAATAAAAACAATAATAACAACAACAAAAACTACAACAACAGCAACGAAAACAACAACAAATATAAACAATAATAATATGAATTCACCAAAACAATCTATAAAACTTTGGCCACGCCAAACTTAAAATACCCTTGCAGACCAACACACATTTTACACATATACTTTCAAAAATGCGATATGCAAAATTCTTACGATATATAAATAATAAAATGGGGGAAAATAAGAAACAAACTGTTTGCATCTACTTCAAAATACAGCAGTTTTTTTTTTTAAGCCAGACAATGCTCGAATCAAGATTAATTCAGACGACGTAGAAGATTTAAAGCATTGTCTGAGGCCAATTTAAAGAGTTTCCTAACTAAACTGGAACTTTGTATTATATCCGAAATCAAACGGAACAACTTGAAAAACTTTAGCATGCCATTTATTCGCTTTCATATAGTGATATACAATCAGACCAATATCTATTCGTACACCCTTGACTTATAGGTCTTTCATTCACATTGATACTTAAATTTTTCTTAGTCATGGTTTCATTTATAAATAAAATACATTAATATACTTAAATGTGCCCTTTTGCTATAATTATTATTTGTATCTTCGCGAAAGTGGAATTTTCTAGTTATTAGTTTTAGGAAATTAAATATTAAAATTAATTTTAATTATAGAAACAGTTTTCTTGTTTTTAATTGGGCTTTGAGGCAAGTTTGATTTGTCTGATTGGGTTTTATGGGTTTCCCTCAATTCATGCAACAAATGTTGAAACATTTTGCATTTAATTATCCCCAGAAATTGTTCATATTTCATGAATTTAAATATAATATTAAATTTTATTTTAATTTTAATTTTGTATTTTTGTTTTGTGTCGACTAACTTTAGATGACATTAAATAAATAAATAAATAACAAACTCAACGAATATTTATTGGTCTGTGCTTATGTCTTTATGATATATGATATATACTGCAATTGCACTAATTGTCCAACAACTGCAAGGCTATAACTATTATATACACGATAATATACGATTATAACAAGAAAGAACGAGAAGAAAACTTAGGCATGCCTAAGATTAAATACCCTTGCAGACGGTAGTCTGTCAATCAATTCAAGCAAAGAAAGTTTTCATAGGAGACCTTTACTTTTGACAGATTGTTCATATGGCAGCAATATAAATAATTTATATAGATTATATTCGTTATGTTTACTGAGTGACGAATGACTGACGGGACATAGAGGTCTCCATGAGTGCGTCACAAACTGCATGTCAAACTTACAATACCCTCTGCAAGGGTATAGAGGGTATAAGAAAAACTCTTGTCTCCCCAACCATAATTGAAATACGCTCTCAATCCTCAATTCGTACAGTTCACACGAACAGCCATAAATACATGTACAGCCTGGCCCCAGGCAATGTTTACAATCATTCACACCCCATTCACACACACTCACCCATACATACACACACTCACACATACAAACACACACACATACAAACACACACACATACTTGCGTAGAGCAGTAAGCGAATAATTGATTGCAAACAGTAAAAAAAAACGTATAAAAGCAAAAATAAGCGCTAACAAAAAATCGTAGCATACTTTTTTGGGCTTCGCAGCTGCTTTTGACTTATTATTTGAGTTTGTGTTGGTGCCCGCCGCGCCCACAGTTGATGCCGCGTATTGACATATTGACATATTGCCGCCTAGTATGTATATATGTGTATATGTACTTGTACCCGTATTTGTATTCGTACTCGTACTACTATATTTGTATTCACACACACACACACACTGATTTCTCCTTTTGATTTCAATGTATTTTTATCCTTTTGCCACGCATTCAACTCGAATTTACCCATCCACAAATCGAACAAAAAATGTGAAATCAATATGGGAAATGCCGGGGATGGAGGAGGGGTTGGGGGACTGGAAAAAAAGAACGGATTATGTGAACTGTTCGGTTCTCAGTTAGTCTAGTTAAGTCAACAGCAATTAGCCGCCATTTAGTTATCATTGTTCATTGTTCATTGTTCATTCTTATTTGGCAGCCCAAATAATGCCATTTTTTGCTTCATGTGAAAATAAACATTGACCGTTCACCCTCTCCTCCCCGCACCCCACCTCAACATGCTGCAGTTATTGAGAATTCACTGTGTTTTATTTGGCCACATTGAGTGTCTGGGCAATCCGAATCCACTCTCTAATAGATCACTGCAACTTTAACTAAGTTGGAAATGAAGGAATTCAAATTTAAAAATCATAATAATCATAATAATAATAAGAATGGCAATAAGAATAATGAATCGTAAAGTTCAGAGACTAAGGACTAAAAACCACAAAGTATATTCTGCTAAGTGGTCCTGGTGGGTTTGAAGGGGTTTGGGGTGCATAAAACACGCTACTCACACACACACACATGCACACACACTCGCAGTGTGTGATAGCTCTGACATTACATATTCCCCACATGCCCATCTTCAACATATTGTTTGAGTAAACTTAAGGTATATTTAGACTGAGTCTCAGTCTCTCCGTCTTTTCGTGGTTGACATGAAGGAAATTATGTAATAAAGATAATTAGCTGGAACAGTTTTCTGTTCTATCTGTGTATGTGTGTGTGTGTGACCATGTGTGTGTTTATTTTGAGGATAAGTTTTTGGGTTCAGTTTGTTCAGTGATTTCATGAATTAACCTCGGGACCTTGGAGACCAATTTGCCAGTTACGATTAGTCTGGTTGACAACTCTCGCATTCTCGAGAAGATTCTCCCGCTCTTTCGCACTCACTTTACTCCTCTTTCTCTCTCTCTCTCTCTCTCTCTCTCTCTCTCTCTCTCTCTGTCACTCTTGGTGGCAATTGCGGGCAGCCTTACGTGATATCCTGCTGCAAATCCGTGCCAATGCCAAACGAAATGGGCTTTAGTTAAGTGAATTATGTCATGGCTGTTGGCCAAAACTTGTAAGCCAATTGTGTGTAAGTGTGTGCATGTGTGTGTGCGTGTGTGATTGTATGATTGTGCAGCAGTTTTGGGTTAATGCCTGATTGGGCCATGGACTAACAGCGATTGGAATCGCCATTGGGTTTAGGTTTACTCATCAGTTGTATGTTCACAAATAAATTCGCACACCTGCTGAACAAATTGAAATTCGAACAGTTAAGGGACAAGGCTTGATTCGGAACCCCGAAGCTCAAATGCTTTTGCAGTTGAATATATTCATTCAGTCAATATGTTCATACAAGACCAATTAAGCGATAAATATCCATCATGGAATTCAATTTGGAAAGCATTGGTTTTTAGAAAGATATTCCTTGGGTTGTACAATTATATACTTATTTGAAATTTGAAAAAATTGGTATCGAAAACTATGATTTAATATTGAATTGGGATATGATGGGAACATAGAATATATATGTAGTACAAGTATTATGTAACTGAAACTGCATGAATATGAGGGCAACGGAACCAGCTGAAAACACTCACTTGTAATACTACTAATAATAATAATAATAAAAATACTTTTTATGCGAGTTGGGAACCCATTGAAATTAGGGGCATACACCAACATATGCCACACACACAGTGGATTGGGCGTAGACCTTGTACAGTTATGGCAGCTATATAATGTGTTTATATTTTACCCCAATTGGAAGATCGTTCAACTCATCGCTGACCAGTGCGCAGAGCAATTGCCACTGCACAGATACTAATTTAAGATACACAGAGAGGGATAGACTTATATTGACACCGGCACAGCATCAGTTGCATCAGCCGCATCCTAATCGGGGACATGACCATGGACAGCATCCTCGTCAGCGCCGGTGCCAGGTGCGTTTGCATCACAATAGTCCTGCCTCCGATGGTAGCTGTTATTCGTTGGCGACAGGAGGCGGAGGAGGAGGAGGAGGAGGAGGAGGAGGAGGAGGACCTTTAAGTTCCGGTAGCTTTACGCAGGTTAAGACCCTCTCATCGTTCATCAGCGAACATCCCGAGGAGCTAATGAGCAACAGCAACAGTAACAGCAACAGCAATGGCAACTTCAATAACAACAACATCATCGAAAATGGCTGCAACAGCAACAACAACAACAACAACCCAAATCAGACAACAAAATGGAAAAGCCTGCGTGCTGTGATGGCATATTACTGTTCATTGCGTCGCATTAAGAGGAACGGTGCTTTTACAAAACCCAACTAACTAAACTAAACTAAACTAAAAACTTAAACCACAACTAATCTAATCTAATCTAATCTAATCTAATATAATCAAGCAACTATATAATCGTACTACTATCTTGCATTCTCTGTGTGTGTGTGTGTAATCAAAAACCCCCCTTCTCTCTGCTCTCTCTCTCTCTCTCTCTCTCTCTGTCTCTGTCTCTCTTTCCATCTCTCAAAACATCCTAAATACCGTACCGTACCGTTTATCCAATCCAAACAACCAATAAACTTTCTCTCACACTCTTTATAATAATAATAAGCAAAAAAAAAGAAGAAGAAAAACACAGTTTATTTTAGTTTTTGCGTGTCTCTCTCTCACTCTCTCTCTCTCACACACTCTGACTGTCTCTCCTACTCTAAGCATATATGTATTGTATATGTGTGTGTGTGTTGCAAGTACAACTTACTTTTGTGTATGCCACACATAAATAATACTCGATTTTGACCGTTGTATCAACCGTTGTATGTCAGACCATTCTCCACGCTCTCTCTCTCTCTCTCTCTCTCTCTCTCTCTCTCTGTCCTCTATCTCATTTATACAACATTGAGTCGCTTGCTGGTCCATCTCTCTTTCTCTCTCCCCGAAGTCGCTTTATAAAGTTCACACAGGAAGTTTAGATGCCATCCTCTAACTATATTCTTCCTTTATTCTTCTTCTATAGATATATATATATATATATATCTCACTTGCACTTTCGTTAACTAACTCTGTCGTTTCTCGTGTTATTATTATGAATATCAACTCATACTTTTTCACAGGGCGTTGCTTTATCACAGGTTTTCGCTTGTCTTATGTAAAGAATATCTCACAATCATTTTTATAATCCTTCTGTATTTTGTTATCCGTCCCGCTGTCTCTCTCTCTCTTCCTATCTCTCTCGCTTCGCTTCTTTATAATTTTCATTATTCATCACACAGGGTGATTCTACTGGATATTTAATCTTCTTCGCGCAGGGTGTTCGCTGTTGAAGTGTTTCTTAGCCAGATGTTGTTTTCTTCCTTGGTTCAAACTTTATTATAACAATGCTACACTTTATCCCATCCACTGGGGTTTTGTGCTAGTTTTTTGGCAAAAAGTTTATCAAGCTAAGGCCAAAGTGCATCTGCACACACACATACATCCACACCCACACAAACACACACACAAATATGTGTAAAAAAAAAATGAAAAAATCTCGGCAAACAGCAAAAGTTGAAGTGGCTTTTGAGTGGTGCAGTGTGTAGAGAGAGAATCGATATGTTTAAGCTGCCTGCCTGACTGCTTGCATTGTAGGCGAACTTTTGACACACATATGTACGTATATATACACACACACACACACAAACACATACAAACACACACATACACTTACAGATATAACTGCGCCTATGCATATATGCGACAATACATTGGCATCGTTCATGCCAAATAAGAAATTGCCTTCTGAATGACAACTTACAAAGAATTTGAATTTAGCAAATTGCAAATTTATGTTGAAGCTGGCAACTAGCTTTCATACACACAAACACACACACAAGCAACTGTCGACACGACCTAGAAATGAATGCAGCATATCCTTTTTTAACCGCCCCACTACACTAAAAAAAATAAATAAAAATTAAACTAAATATACCCCAGATTTGAAATCAAACTAAAATGAAAATCGCCCGAAAATACCAAAATAACTCATAGTTTTTTAATATCTCTAGGAAAGAAAAAAAAAACAGAAACGCTTCTCTTTGACAGTACTAAAAGTATCGTATCTATCTCAAAAATACTTTTTATTTTACAGCAATATATTTCTGGAAAAATTGAAATTTTGTTTGATAAATGCATAATAACATAACAAATACTCGAAAGTATACTGAATGGCATAAATCATTGCCTTTTGCGAATACACTCTCTAAATTGGAGGGCTTGTATTTTATTGCCAAGTGTATGAACTATGAACCGTGCGGCAGCTGTCAAAAGTGCTGCGAGAGTATATGCAAATGCATGACATTTTCCCTCTCTCTCTCGCTTTCTCCCTCTCTCGCTCTTTCTCTCTCTGTCTCCCTGTCGGTAAGACTATGCAGTTCCAAGTGTCTGTCAGACAGTCGCATTCGAAATTGCGAATTTAGTTCTCGATCTGATTGTCGCAATGCGATTGTCTTTCAATTCAGAGACACTTTCGAGCACTTGGCCGCAAACACTGCACATACATATGTATATTACATGTATTCGATGGTTAGCCTTTTTACATTTGTTGCATATGCGTCATTTGTGTGTCAAGAGCAACAGAGATCGATAAAGATGTTTGATCACTGCACTGGCGCCATCTATGGGCGAGTGTGCTTAACGTATACATTCCTCTTTTACCTTGAATGCTTTTATTTTTATTGAGCTTGATTGGCATTTCAAATCAACGTCCAGCGAATGGTGCCACTTCAATTTAAATTCTCGTTTAAATAAATACACCAAAAGAAATAAAGTAATAAATCTCCTCTAATCAAAGCCAAGCAACAAGCAAATCAATAATAATCTAATTTTGACTATTCAACTGCATCAACTTGCACCGAAAAGTAAACCAGATTTGAGACACTATTGCAAATTGGACTCGGACTAGTGAAGCGTTGTCATACAATCATATGGCATTTGTTGCATATGCGTCAAGAGGGACAGAGATATAGATTGATAAAGATGTTTGATTACTGAACTGGCGCCCTCTATGGGCGACTGTGTTGAACTTGTTAAATTTACAGTTACCTTGTATGCACTTTATTACTCAGCTTGATTGGCATTTCAAATCAGGGTCCAGCAGATGGCGCCACGTCAATTTACATTTTTATCAAGTTAGATGCAACAAAGCAATTTTGATTTGAGACGCGATTGCAAATTGCACTCGAAAAAGGTTATAGGGGTTGCTAATGCAGTGTTTGTACACTTGAACATGGCGTTTGACAGGAATAAAACCAAACTGTGCAACGGAAAGCCCATGGAGCTCATTTGTTTGCTGGCAATCGCTGGCAATTAACGCAACTGCGGCGAAAGCAGCTGGCCACAATGACAACCAGAATGGCTGTCCAGAGAAACAAGGCGAAAAGTCAAACACAACGCAACACAAGCACCATTATCGTTGGTCAGCAAAGTGAGTGGTTTGTGGGGGGTGTGGTTGGGGAATTTGTTTTTGTTTTTGGCCATGTCACTGCGTGACAGTTGCAAAGTGGCTGCCAATGGGGTACATGTGGTGCAATCCGCTGTGGTGCCAAGGCGTTAATTGAAATCTGAGAGTCGAGAGTCAACTCGAGAGGCAACAGGCAAACAAAATCAAAAATTCGGCATCATGCCATCAGCCATTGCGCAATTTCCAGCTGTGTATGCATGCGTGTGTGTGTGTGTGTGTGTGTGTGCGTGTGTGCGTCTCGATGATTTGTGTTGCAATAAAAAAATGGCATTTAATACAAACATGCCACAAAAGCTTAAAACTGTAGCTTACAGCTCCGACAAAAAACTAATCAGTTGCCTTTCAATTTATTATAAATCGAAATGTGTGTGCGTGTGTGCGTGTGAGTGTGTGCGTGTGCATGTGTGTAATCTTATCGTACAGCAAGCCTTTTTACGCTTGATGGTTCACAGCCCGCATGTAGCCCAAGAATCAGACCAAAAATACCAGGCCAAAAGCCAAGTCAACGAGCTGACCGTTAAATGAATTGCCAGCCACTCGCCTAAGCCATCACCCACCCCACTCGGCCCCTACACCCCCTCTCTCTTTCTCTCTTTGTATCGCCATCTCTCTCGCAAACACTCTTTGTGTGGATGCGCGTGAAAATGCTCCCTGGAGCCATATTGAAAGAAAATGGACGCAAAGTCCACAAAAGCAAATGGAAACAGTTTCATTCACTGGCAAAAGCAAAAAAATCCTTTAGAAACCTACAAAAAATCTTGTGCTAACAAACTTTTGAAAACATTTCAAAATTAAAATAAAATTATTTTGCAGAAATATGTTGCTAACAAAATTGAAAGCATTTCTGAAAACAAGTGGCTTAAGTGGTTTAAGAGAAAGCGTTTCAACTTTTAGGAAACATTTTATGTCATACAAAAATTATTCGTTGGTTTTTTGGGCTTATTTTCTAAGTTGTAGGTTTGTTTTTTTTCTACTATACATTACTGTATTTATTATTATTTTCTTTAAATATTTCTCAACGCAACAAAATACAATATTTTAACAGGTTTGAAAATTAGCTAATCTTTTAGATTGGATTCAGATTGTATAAATATAAGATATGCATCAATTTTGATTAAATAATATTTCAAAGTCAAAGACTCGCAACTATTTTTAACAACTCTCATTGCGCCAGTGTTGGTAAACACTGCATGTATTTGGTTGAACTCCAGTGTTGAGTAAAGCGCTGATATTTGTTTGAGCTTGTTTCACCTGTCGCTCTCACTCTCTCTCTCTCTCTCTCTCTGACTCCGTCTCTGTCTGTCTCTGTCTCATGATGTCTGTGTCTATTTTTCTTTTTATCATCCCAACATATATATACTACATAATAATATTACTACGTCTAAAATAACAACAATAATCAATTACAACAAACAACAATGACAAATTACATTAAAAAAAAATCAAATACAAAAAAAAACAAACGAAAAAAAATTAAAATGAAACCAAACAAAAATTTCACAACTCGTTTAGGAAATCGCGTATCGGAGATGGAGCTTCAGATCCAGATTCCGATTGGTAAGTCTCTTGCGTTTTGTTAACACTTTTGGTTGACTCTCACGCTCTGCACAACAAACACACACAGACATCTACACAAACACCTACATATATATACAAGTTCACACAGACAGACACGCATTTAGATACGCTTTTTGATTATGTTGCAAACTAAAACACTTCAGTAGGAAAATATTGATAATGCGAATGATGCTGATTATGACAATGATAATAATGTTGATAATTGACCACAATTAATGATGATTGAACTGCATCTAATTGGCATGTGAAGCGCTTTCTTTTTCAATTGCTGAATCGAACAACCGCAAAAACGAGTTGCAACAAAAAAAAAAAAAACACGTTGAACATATATTTTTTAAGTGGGTTAACAAGCGAGAGCCCTACCCACAACCACAACCACGCCACGCCGACACCCACACCCACACCACTCCACACTCTACTCTACTACTTTTGGTGTTATCCAATAGTTCACCCAACAAAAAAAAGAGAAAAAAGATACGAGTAGTTGACATTTGCCAAATGTTTCTTAATGCAAGCACCGAAAGCTGGCCATTTGGCAGACAATACCACACAGATAAACATCCACACCCATATCCACACCTACACCCACACCCACACCCACACACACACACGTATACCACACGTGTATAAAGGACATGCCACGCCTAGTTCTTGTTTTCTTTTCCTTTGTTTTGTTTTGTTTGGTTTGGTTTCTCTTCTTACTTTTAGCCTAGCCGCATTGCAAGCTGCGTTCTGCTTTTGTACCACACGACGTATGCGTAATAGATATAATATTAGGTAGCATCAATCAATAATATAAAAAAAAAACAAAACCAATATCTTTACACACATATATTTAATATAAATACTAAGCAACGCTGTAAATAGCACAGAAAGAAACCAAAAAAAAATTACAAAAACAAATTTGACTAACTAAAAAACCGTTTATAATGTAGTTTGGCATTTAAATTGTATATATATAAAAAACAAAATATATAAAATGCTATAAAAACAAATGGCTTTGTAATAATATACCATAAAATAAAAATTCATGCGTTTTGTATTTAAAAACATGTATTAAATAAAATACCATACACATTTCGAAATATACTTGTATATAATATACTCATTTACACATAATCATTCGTCTCACATATCAAGGCAGTTTCAACTTAGACTTTTGTTGCTGACTGGCGATTTGAGCAACAACAACAACAACATCAGCAACAACAATAAGAACAATAAACAACAAATTCTTCAAATGCTTCTCCTTCAGTTCCAAGTCCCAGTTCCAAATCTCAAATTCCCCTAGCTGCCAAAATTCCACTTGCACTTTTAGTAACCTTGCTGTATACATAAGCACTTCGATACCCTGTGCCATATTTTATTTTACCATCATTATTATATTTGTTGGGTTGTTTTTTTTTATATATTTTTTTTATTTACTTTTTAAATTATACAAATCGAAACTGCAATCGGAATCGCCACCGATTGAAATTCAGAATCAAAACCGGAATCAGAACCTTAATTCGACTTGGCTCTAAAACCTTATGGAACCGCTGACTTACCCATTTTTAATGGGTTCAGGGTTTGATAATAAATAACGGCAGACCTCAATTCGCCTGCTGACGACTTCATTATAAAATTCTGAAAAACCAATGTTGATAGTTGCATTGCTCAAATGCTATCGGAGTATTCCACAATCAGCTACGCCCAACTGGAACGTTCTCACCTATTTTCTCATAATACCATACCGGTAGCATACTATAACAATTAAAATAGCGTAAAAGGTTTGCAAGAGTACCGGAATCCTTGCCGGAATTTGTATCTGCTTACTTACAAGAATCGGACATTGATGTGTTCATCTGTTTCTTGGCATCTTTAATTGTGTAGATGATATATGAAGTTAATAGCTACTGCTATATATTATGATCAAATATAATTATATTATGATCAAATATAATTATTACAAAATAGTAATGCAACATATTTGTTGGCAAAAATGACATTTAAGCCTATGTATAATATGCTTGAGATTTTGAATTAATTTGGTATTGGGTATAGGGTATCTGCTGGTCGCTCACACTCGACTAATTGCACTCGTTGCTTTCTTGCATTGATTTCTTGTCCGCTTTTCACAATGCTTGCTATTATCACTTGCAATATTTGTTTTGTTTGCTCAAGTTCTGTTTTTTCAATATTCTCCGTCTGCATTCCCAGACGTTTGTCTTCTCCTCCTCAGCAAGCCCCAAATGTTCAACGAAAATTGGTTTTGTTGCCAAACAAACAAAGAAAAAGTGGAAGCAAAATGACATCAAAATTAAAAAAAAAATCCAAGAAAAAACTAGAAAACAGGCAAAACTTAATTTAATTTAGTCGCTTTCTATCATTTTCGACTTCACCAAGCTTGCATGCACGTGTATATGTATATATAGTTATATAGTTTCTGGCTATGCCTGTGTATCTATTTTAACTGTTCTTAAATCCTAACTATACCATACATATATAAATATATACTTTTTGCATGCCTGTTTGCCGTTAGAGCTCTTAAGAACGTAGATGGGAGACGCCTAAAGGAAGCCGGAGACGGAGACGGAGACGCAGCTGTCCTGCCACACCCACCCATTCCACTCTGCCGCACTGCCACTCACCCAATTTCCCACTGCTCCTTGCCCAAGAAGTTGGCTGTCACAGTTGTCTCCGTCAAGACGTCTCCTAGAAAGTCCACCAGAGCACTATCTGACCACATATCTACTACTACTACTACTACTACTACTACTACTACTGCTACATCTGTTTTAGTGCGTGCTTTTCTATATGTGTGTGTGTGTCCGTTAACCGTTAAGCGTTAGACGTATAGCGTTGCCATATCGTTGCGTGGCATTTTGTGTGCGTTTTTGTAAGGTTACGACTTTTGGGTTTACCGTTTAATAAATGTTTATTGCTCCCAAACCAACCACCAAACCAACCCGCATTGCGTAAGTGTTTATTTCGTTGTTATCCTTATTGCATATATCGAGAGCACCCTAGATAGTTACTAGTACACACAGAGTTCAACCTAACCTCAAACTTAAACGCACGCTTCTGCATTATTTACTCGCTCTCTGTTGCGTTATACTCTCTATATATCTTTCCAATTCTATATCTCTCTCTCTCTCTCTCTCTCTATATATATATATATACATATATATATTTACATACATATATATATATATATATATATAGATATATTACTTGTACATCTGTCCTTCCCCAACACAGTAGTTGCTTGAAGTTTTCAGTTGGAAAACCCGCTCGTAGCTCCCTAATTGTAGTTTGTAGATAATGGAGAGTTGCTCGATTTATGTATTTAAAGACTTGTGATCGTTGAACGTGTGTTTTTTTGTGGCATATCCTCGAAACAGGACACGCTCGAATCAACGCTGGATGAAACTCCGCACCACAGTTCAAATCTCATCGGCCATACAGAAGAAACCACCGCTCAAGCGCGAAGACTCTTTCCTAAAGCGTTTCTCAACTAGACAGATACCCGAAACACAGGTGAGCTAAACTTAAGAAACAATCCAATCTAACACAGATTAGGCACAGTTAACATAACAAATATTACTATATCTGACAATTAAATTATGGGGCGTCAAACACATAAGTTATTTAGTAGCCTGATTCCACTAATAGCATTTCCTACATTCGTAATAGTCTGCAGTATGTTAAATATGTTGCCCGTAATGTACATCATTCTGTACATTCAACATTCGTTAAGAATGTTGCGTATTTTGTTTGCAATAATTTTTCGAATTTCGCATCGATGTTATGAAAAGAATACCAATATTTCTCATATTTCAACAAAGGTAGGCGCTTATTTTATTATTATTTATTTCGGAATGACAAATTGAAATAAACTGTTTTACGTAAATATAAAGTGTTGTAATGGAATCGCGAAATGTTAAGAATGTGGATGTAAGAAATGTTGGAATATTGGAATATTGGAATCAGACTATAAGCCATGTTCGAAATATTGAATTACATAACTAACGTCTTGTTTTTTTTTTTGGTATTGTTGGTACTGTAGGAAACTGTTGAAGACACGGGTTCAGAAAGTGCCTCTGGTGACGTCGATAAAACAGTGAAACGTAGACGACGCTATCTGCAGAAACGACGATCCGTTGTTAATCCAGATGAAAATTTTTACTTCTATTGGTTAATGATGTTAACTATATGTGTTCTTTATAATCTATGGACCCTAATTGTGAGGCAGAGCTTTCCTGAACTGCAGGTAAGCCGCAAAGCCAAAACAAAAATAAAAATAATATATTTATTCGCTTTTCTCTTTTGTTTTCCCAAACCCAAACCCAAACCCAACCCATCACCCCATTTCCCCCTCCCAGGTTGGGAAAGAGAACACCTTTTGTAAGTTGAGTTGAGTTGACTTGCCGGCCTAATAATAATGCCCCAACGGCCATAAAATGTTCGCAAACAATGAAGTTTATTATATATTTGAGTGAAAGTGGAAAGAAAGCAACGCCGAAGAATCCTTTGGATTTGCTCTTGACCTTTTCAAATGGAATTTGAAACCCACACTAGCCTGTAGTGTATACAAAAAAGAAAAAAAAAATAGGCAATAAGAGTCTGATTAGTTCTTCAATTTACTAGTAACTCAACTCACTTAATTGAGCATGGGTATTCCAAATAAATGAGAGCATGGCTCTTACCAAATTAAGTAATTATTAGTAGTTAAACTTGAATTTAAATTGCGTACCATTCTGCTCAGCAGAAAGTCAAATATTAGTAAGGAAATAATGTTATAAAAACCTTTAGAATGTGTTTTATGGCAGCGAAATATTTATTTCTATATAAATAAATACCAAATATAAAGTTAAATGATGAATTAAATTAGAAAGTTTACAATTGAATAGCAATGTAAACAAATATAGTATAGGATGGGTAAAATGGTGCAATGTTTATGGCAAGTATTGAGGAAACCCAGAAGGAAAAGCAAATTAGACCAAAAATTGCTTAGCGTTAGTAGCTTAGTAATAAGGTAAGTAAAAAACGTTAAGCGGGATACATAAAGAGTGACACAGCATGCTTTTCTCAGAGACAACAAAGTGGTGCCAATTAGGTCGGTTCTCTAATGGCAGAGAAATTGTGAATTCGCCGCTCTGCTGCAATCAAGCAGTGAAGCATAGAGTATTAGATAGTCTTGTTAACAGACGTTTGCGGCCTGAAATTTTTCCACTACGTGTCTCTCTCTCTCTCTAAACCTCCATCTCCATCTCTCTCTTTCTCTCTGTCTCACTCGCTTGATGTTTGTGTAAGTTTTTGTTTTGTTTGGAGCGCTTGCTCTAATGACTCAATTAAAAGACACGCAGCCATCTCATAAGCCAAATGGTCGATAGCTCTGTCTTACATTGTTGGCTGGTTTGTTGGTTTGTTGGTTTGTTTGCCTGTTGGCTTGTTGGTTAGTAGCTACGGTCCTGGACCTGGACAAATGTTTGTTCACGGCCCAGTTAGCTGGTGTTTGTCATCAGATTAGAGTTCGCTAAGGGTTGCCAAACCATAAGCACTGGCTCACGTTCTTGAAGGTTTCTCAAGGGGGAGGGTGAGGAGGTTGTGTGGCATGTGATATAGTCGTCGTCGTTGACCTTTAGGCCATGTTAATGTGTGTGTGTGTGCGTGTGTGTGTGGGTGTGTGTGTGTGGCACAGTTCTTGTTGTTATCGTGCCTTTTTTTGTCGAATTTTTTGTTGTCAGCTTGCCATTTGTGGAGCCGGCCTCAGCAGCCGTATCTACCTCCCTCCCTCCCTTCCCACCTCTATACCAGCCCCACCCCCACGCCCCGCATAGCTTATTCTCATGTGGAATTGTGCTAAAATAATTGCTAAAATAATAATTGCCCTTGACCTGAGTTGTATTTTTATTTTTTGCATGCATGCAAATAGCCGAGTGCACTAATTGAAAAATGTCAACTAATTTGTACATTTCAACAATGATTTCTTTCCCATCTATTTCTATTAATACCGACAGCAATCTGTGCCTACCTTTTGGCTCATCTGCGATTCAATTACAGATGTTGTATTTATCTTAGATATAATAGTTCAATTACGCACAGGCTATCTGGAGCAGGGCCTCATGGTAAGTACTAAGAAGACACCTCGACACAAAGCTAATACTCAAATCAAGATTGAAATGGTGAACATAGTCTGAAAGTAACCGGAATCGGGAATTCCAAATTTTGTAAAAAACCAGCATCCGGAACTGATATTATGATTAACTGAAACATCATAGTGGTACACATATGCATACTGGTCGTTCTTACTTGTAAAAATCCAGTCTGAAACCATCTGAGCAACAACATGATCAACATCGGATATTATAAAGCTGGTTCGGTATTTTAATTATGTACTTGATAAGGATCAACAGCCGACTTGATGTAAAATTGTCAGTATTTTTGTTCAGATACCATAAGAGGAATATAAGTTCTCGTATACAAATACACCCAAGTAATGAGTTCGACTATACGGTATTTTCCGAACAAATAATATCAGTTCCGATATTTTGTATTTGGGTTTTAAGCAAATTTGGAATTTTGTTAAGCATGCGGTTCCGATTTCAATAGTTGTCGTTTTGACAACCTGTTTATAATCTGAGATGAATTTAATTTAATTTCGTACACCCTTTTTTTTTGTTTTTGTATTTTTCGTTTAGGTCTACGATGACAGGAAGCTGGCTTGTCATTATGTGCACTCGAGAGAGTTCATTTTTGATATGATAGCGCTGATACCGTTAGATCTGCTGCAGTTGAAGATGGGCACACATCCGCTATTGCGTTTTACGCGCTTTTTTAAAGTGAGTGCCCCCCTCCCAAAAGAACAATTTATTATAATATAATATGAGATGATGTGTGCACATATTGTTTCAGGTATATCGATCTGTGAGATTTTATTACATCGTAGAGAGTAGAACAGTTTGGCCAAATTTATGGCGTGTTGTTAATCTAATTCATATCCTGTTAATATTGGCCCATTGGTTCGGTTGTTTCTATTTTTTACTCTCCGAAGCGGAGGGCTTTCAGGTAAGTACAAGCCGAAGATCAACTTTAGACAGACATGTGTAAATATTTATCATTCGATTTCTTGTTGTTTTGTTTTTATATAGGGTGACTGGGTTTATCCCTATAGACCGGGAGACTATGCGACGCTGACACGCAAGTATTTGGGCAGCCTGTACTGGTCGACCCTAACGCTGACCACAATCGGGGATCTGCCCACGCCCGAAACGAATGCTGAGTGAGTATTTTGTGCATTTGAGCACGGTTTCTAGTGCCGGTTTTAGTCTCCTACTTTGACCTTGGGCTGGGTTTCTCGTTCGTTTTTTCTTTGCCATTCCATTTCATCTCAAAGACCGAACTTTTCGGTGGACGGCCCTCGATCGATACCAAGGCGTGGCATTAAATCACGACTGCTACAGTTCGGCTCTAGCTATGGGTATGCGATCCAAACCTAACTAAACAGTATCATAATCCCAATACTCAATCTTGAATATAATGCGTATCAATATCATTTGCTATACTTGTTGGGGGCTGTCCACCAGTTCGGTTCAATTACTTTCCTCTTTGGGGTAGACAACAATTGTATATCTAATCGGATAACTGATTAAAGCTTTGACACCCACTTTTTGCAAAATACTCACCTAATCTAATATCAAAGTTTTCGAAAGCGTGCGACAGCCTTCAACAATTCCAATGATATTTATTCGCTCACTCAATTTGTCATGAAGCCAATTTCAATTAAATAATAAAAACACAATAAAAAAAAAACAAATACATTGAAAATGTGCTTTCGAAAACTTTGAATGTGACAAGAGTTTTGGCACCAAAAACAGAGCGCTATGAATGAGGGAAAGACAGAAGAGAGAGAGAGAGAGAGAGAGAGAGAGAGAGAGAGGCAGGGAGACAGAGAGAGAGAGAGAGAGACAGATAGAGAGAGAAAGCGAAAGGAAATAAGAGAGTTGATTTCACTATTTCCAAAAGTAAACCATTAAATGAGTAAAAAAGTTTTCTTCAAAATGTTTGTAAGAGGCTAAAGGAAGCAGCTTGATCAGGATCAAAAGCCGAGACTTCAAATTCGATATTTCGTTTTATCGATAACGCTTATCAAATATCCATACATATCGAATGTAATTTTATATGCAGCGCTTTCCAATTTATTTATAATATACATAGACCTACACTCATAGAAAACTTTCATCCAGTTCGAATAAGAAACACTCCAGTTAAAGTAGAACAAAAAAAAACACACATTGATCCCGTTGAAGGAAAATGTAACTAGAATATATTTAATAGCCGTATTGAGGGTATTTCATAGTCGAGCTCACTCGACTTCAATTAAAAAATCTTATTAAAAAATAAAGAAACAACCTTGAACTTACATAACAAGTATACAAAACTAAAACATTACTCAAACGAATTGATTTTAAAATTAGAATGTTCTAGTCACAAATTTGACCATTCAAAATGAGTTACAATCTTTAAAACAGTTGATTAAGCATATTCATACAGCGCTCTGGGACTGCCAGAACTCAATTGATCACTGTCTTGGCCAACTCGTGGTACACTTCTGGTATAATAACTTAATGGTTATACTTTGCTCTTCTGCTCGGCTAGATATATTTTTACGATCGTTAGTTATTTGATTGGCGTGTTCATCTTTGCGACTATTGTGGGCCAAGTGGGCAATGTGATAACAAATCGTAATGCCAATCGTCTGGAGTTTGAGCGTTTACTCGATGGCGCCAAGACCTATATGAGACATCACAAGGTAACTTCTCGCACACACACACACACACATACACACACTTACGTAATTGATACGTAACTCATTTGCCGTTAGGTGCCTGGTGGCATGAAGCGCCGTGTACTGCGCTGGTACGACTACAGCTGGTCGAGGGGCCGCATTCAGGGTGGCGGCGATATAAATACGGCGCTTGGTTTGCTGCCGGATAAACTGAAAACCGAATTGGCCTTACATGTTAACCTAAGCGTACTGAAGAAGGTGACCATATTCCAAGAGTGCCAGCCGGAATTTTTGCACGATCTGGTGCTGAAAATGAAGGCATATATTTTCACGCCCGGCGATTCAATATGCCGTAAGGGCGAGGTTGCCCGCGAAATGTTCATCATAGCCGATGGCATCTTGGAGGTGCTTAGCGAGACGGGCAAAGTGCTGACCACCATGAAGGCGGGTGATTTCTTTGGCGAGATCGGCATACTCAATCTGGATGGGCTCAACAAGTAAGTGATTGAAAATATCTCAATTTGATGTCACATTTGGAATGCTTCTTTCCCATCCATCGCAGACGAACTGCGGATGTGCGATCCGTGGGCTATTCGGAGCTGTTTTCGCTATCGCGCGAGGATGTGCTGGCTGCGATGAAGGACTATCCGGATGCTCAGGAGATTCTACAGACTCTCGGACGCAAGCGTCTCATGGAGGTGCGATGCGTCAACAAGAAGTACGCCAAGGCGGCTCTCGAAAAGGAGAATGCCGCCTTTGCTGCCGCCCATCCGCATATGCCACACCCACACCAACACACACATAGCCACCACCATCAGGTGCATCAGAGCGACAGCAGCGAAAACAGTGCCTCCAAGAAGATTGTCGACAAACTGAAGCACGATGTAAAAGGCTTTCGCAATGTGCTCAAAAAATCCAGGCAAGTTCCACTATCCACATTCAGCCAAAACATCCAAGTGAACTTTGGTAAATCGCTAAAGTGTACACAAAAATCGTTTATAAGCTTTTTTGTTACTTACACTATTAATTATTATTAAATATTAGATATGTTATTAAAATGCGATTATAATTTGCGGCCTATTTTCAATGCGATTTTCTTTCTGAGTGCAGATTGAATAGCCATCACCAAGTTTAATTTGCTTAAATCTTAAATCAATCTATTTCCCTCGCTTTTTCTCTCTCTTCGTCTCTCTCTCTCTCTCTCTCTCTCAATCTCTGTCTCTGTCTCTCCCATTATGGCTGCTTGTGTCCCACCATTTAGAACGTCGAGGAAGAGCGATGAATCACTGGAAATGCAACCGCTGCACAATACCTCACCGCGCGGCAGCAAGATAATGCTGAAGCGGATGTCCCGCGTCCGCTCCGATGAGAAACAGGATGCGGATAGTGCCGAGGCAAGGGATGAGCTGCACGATAAGACGCCCAGTCCGATTGGGGCGGGGCTGCCATTGTTGCAGCGACTGCGTCTGCTCAAGGAGAAGCAGGTGAGTGGGCCACGTCAAAGGTTGAAGGTCAAAAGGCGAGTAGTCCGTCTCATTATCATCTAACCAGCCACCGTCACATAGACACCACCAACACCATCCTGTCAATAATCCACCAAACCACCCAAAAAAAAAAAAAACACCACCCACCAAGCAACCAATCACCCAGCTAAATTTCTTTCACACCCACACACACACACACAGCCACAAAAACGCAATATTTTGATCCACTCACAATTGATAAGAATGAAAGAATCTTAGGCCGAAGATGAAATACGCTTGCAGACCAAGTTTCACTGTAGTTTTGAAAAAACCCACCGATTGTTCCTATCAAAGCTATATGCTATAGATATAGATATGATGGCTTGCTGTCCAAATGCTAGAAGCATAATAATATCCTGATTCCACCACATCCTTGAATGTATACAGTATGTTAAGTATGTTCCCATAAGGAACAACATTCAGCACATTCAACATTCGTTGTGATGATTTATTGAATTTCATATAGATGTTATGAAAAGAATGGTGATATTAATGTCTCAAACAGCTCAAATATCATGAAAGGTAAGCGTTTATCTTAAAATACAATTATTATTTGATTAATTTAATTCATTTCATACAAATTAATACGGAAATCCCTAATTTTCAATTAGGTTGTTTACACAAAAAAGGTTTAGGCCTGTCTTATATTTTAATTAAATATTTTCCCAAAAGTGGAATAGAATGTGACGAAATGTTGAGCTCTGTGGAATCAGGGTATAGTACCCATATTAAGTGAGTTCTTGGTAAATCAAAAAAGTTGTTCAAAGAAGAGCACATTTATCGACCAAATTATGGCAGATATAGTAAGAAAAATACGGATATGTTGTAATTTTCATCAAGATAGCTTATAAGCTGGGCTTGAAGCAGACAGACAAACAGACGCATCTCAATTGTTGATGCTGATCAGAAGCATGTATACTAAATGGGTTGGGAGACATCTATTCATTGCAAGGCTTTAGCCACATCATTTATAAATGTTGTGTTATTCGCACAGGTATAAATCAGAAGCATTCTATTGTGTTTTTCCTGCCACGACAAAGAGCAAACAATAATCCACACAAGAACTGTACAGTTGCAACCTGAACAAATAACAAATACGAATACACAGCAATCAAAATGTATACATATATATATATATATGTATATATATATGTATGTATATGTATATGTATATGTATATATGTACACCCGATACTGGATGCGTACTCTCCATTCCATTGCGAGGTAGCATTGAGTGTTGCTTCCTCTTCTTCTTCTTCTTGTTCTTCTGCTTCTTCTTCTGCTACTTCTTGTTGCTGCTTTTTTCCGTTTCCGTTTTCCTTTCGATTTTTCATTTTGTTTCCTTTGTATTGCTAAGCAGTTGCTTTTAGTGCACCTTGAAAGTATTTATTAACTAATCGTTAATCATCTTGTTTGAAGCACGTTTTGCAAATGAATTTCCTTAACGACGACGAACAGCGAAATCCAGCCAAGTTTAGTCAAAACTTAATCTTAGTTGACAAACAGTTCAATTTTCTTTTGCTTTCAATTGAATTTGCGGTAATTCGGACTGAATTGAGTGGCTATAACTAAAATAATAAATAAAATAACTCTATAAAGCTTTCATAATTAAAGTCGAATATTTAACTAAACACAAAATGACTTTTTCGCTTAAGCGTGAGCCCATCTATATTCAAATAATATATTTTCTCTTTAAGTGTATTTGTTTTTTTTACCTTTCTTTAATTGAACTCGATTTCTTACTTATTGATTGAACTTAAAGGTTTGGGGAGCTCAGGCTATTTGGGCCTGTTAATGTACACTGCTTTTGACAGCCAATCTGGCTGTCTCTGAGATCTTTCAAGGGAAACGCTACTTTTGCATACTATTAATGTGCTGGCTTTAGTTATTATAGTCAACTGCAGCTTGTATATGGCTTAACGATGATCAATCTGCTTAAAAGCTTTCCAACTTTATATATCTAACCAATATGAGAATCAAAATTTGCTTGGCTATTGCCTTAAGATCCCCCACGCTACCAAAATTACTTAGTTGCTTGTCCAAGCTTGTATTTCTTTTGAATTGAAACACAACAGTATGTACCAAGCAGTACAAAACATGACAAAGACAAACCCATAACAAACTACACAAGCCACACCACATAACATTATGCAACTACATCAACTCACTCAACTGCACTACCCTTTCAAAAACCACATGACACCGCCGTGACCATCACAGCTCCACACTAAATGAAACCAGATTACACAGCTAAGTACCACTCTAAGCCAGATGACACAAATATACAACACTACACACACATACACACACACACACATACACACACACACACACACACATACACACACACTACAGCCACTGCATCTCGCATACTCTGTGAAGAGTTTATCAACATTTTGATTGATTTTCATTTACGCATTGAATTTGAGTATATATTTTTTTAAAATTTGTTTTTCCCTTTGGTTGTTTTTCATTTGTTTAAAGTTAGCTTAAAATCCGAAAAATGCAAAACAAAAAAAGAAAAAAGAAAATCAAATCCTGCAAAAATTCGTGTTGTATGTAATGAACCCCGGCTCCTAAATAGTAGTTTTTGTATGTGTCTTTATGTGTCTTGCACTAGGATCGCGAAGAGCGAGCTGTTAAGTCCACACCACCACAGAAATCTCCACCTCACTCACATGTAACGTGTACGTTATCGCCGCAGGAATCGATACAGGAAGAGCCCGAACGCGAGTTCAACGAAGGCTTTCCTCTCATCCAGAGATTGCAGCAGTTGAAAATTAAAAACGAGCCACAAACGAGCGCCAGCAACGAGTCCGCCGGCGTCGTCGTCATGGTAAAGCCGCATAAGCCCAATCTTAATATCAGCCCAACCACAATTCAAAGTCAATGTCGAAACGAGTTTCATTTGCAGTAGTACCCCCAAAAAGATCTTAATTCCAATCCAGTCATCAGTCAAGAGTTATTAATTGTATTTCTACTAATCCTCCAGGCACACACACCGCCCAACATCAGCAGCAAGGTCGACTTTGGAGCTACACAAGCCGGTAGTGCAGCACCACAAACGCTGACCGTCACCCAAATCAAGCCCATGATGAAGGTTTCGTTCAAGCAGAAGATACAGCAGCTGCAGGGAATTGTGCCGGCGTTGCCAAGCAGCAGTAGCACATCCATTGGCACTGCCGGCACTATCGGCAAAAAGGAGCCACCCAAATCGCTAGCTGTGGTGGCTACGCACTCGAAAACGGCAGCACTACCACTGCCACTGGAGGGGGCAGCAGCAGTAGCGGGGGGTGGTGGTGGTGGTGGTGGTGCTATTGCTGTACCCATAGCCAGCATATCGAAAAAAGTGATGAGACCGTCCCAGAGGCTGATAACACCGCAGCAATCGGACACAGATACGGATGGCACGCCCATCAAGCCCTGGTCCAAGCTGAAACTGGCCACACTTATGTCATCCAGCTATACGAGTTTAACCAACTGTTCACCCGACGATCTGGCAACGCCGTTAAAGAACTGCTCCCTCAGCAATATACCGCAGCACATGGACAGCAGCACAAGCTACCGACCAAGGCACCACAGTGCGCGCAGCTCCCGCTCACCCCGGCACAGTGGTCACAGTGGTCACAGCTACAGTCACGGTAATGGTCACGGCCACGGCCACGGTCACGGTCACGGTTACGGTCACGGCGGTGGCAACGGCTCTAGTTCGAGCCCATCGGTCACATCAAGCACCCGCAGCACGTTGAGCACACAACGGGACTTGCAAAAGCCGGAACAGAAGCTGCCGGCCGATGGCGATGCACCGCAACGTAAGTTGTATCAGAGTGTATTTGATCTGTCGCCAGAATACTGCGGATTGCCGTTTGTGAAGAGACTGAAGATATTGAATGAGCGACAGAAGCTGGCCGAACTGGAGAAGGCGCTGCAGACGCGCAGTTTCAGTCTGGACTGCTCCAAGTCCAGTAATAACAACGAAGTGCCAATTTCGGAATCATTATATCGCTGCTATAGCGACACATCCGGCATCTATTCGCAGTTTCTCAGCACGTACGAGTCCACGACTAGCTCAACATCAATTTCGACCAATACATCCGCATCCGCATCCGCATCCGTATCCGCTTCCGCCTCGGATAGCAATTCAAAACAGCAGCAACAACAGCAGCAGCAGCAGCAGCATTTGCAACATCAACTGGATTATATGCCACTGAGTCCCGAATCGAATGAAACCGTTGAACGGCGCAAGCTCAAAAGCATATTGAAGAAACTGCAGAAGAGTGGACCTTCTGCTGATCCAAGTGGCGATGGTGATGCCCAAGACGAGGCGAATGCCCAGACCCAGACCCAGACCCAGATCCAGGCACAGGCACAGACACAGACCCAAGCCCAGTTACAGGCGAAGGTCAAGCTGGCGAGGGGGCTGCTGATGGAGCCAACCTTGGAAGGGTACGTGGCCAGGCACAGTAAGCTCTTGAAGAGTGTAACCTTCCATTCAACTCTTTCTAGCCCGCCAGCCACTGCCAAAGAGGAGCTGCACTTTGTTGCTGCCCTCGGCAACAACGGCAGCAACAGTAAAAACAACAACAGTCGTAACGGTAACGGTAACGGTAACGGCAACGGTACGGGTAACGGTACGGGCAACGGTACGACGTCAATAGAGAATCTAACTGGCATATTGTTGCCAGATCCGTCGTCAGTCTGGTCGCCGACGTTGGCATTGGTAACGCCAACGAATTCGCCGCAAGAATGTTTTGCATTTGAGCCGCAATTGGGCGATGGCGTCATCGCTGGCGTTGGCAACGTTTCAACGTCAACGTCAAACGCATCCACATCTGCGACCGCATCCGCATCCGCGTCCGCGTCTGCATCATATGTGGTTGAATGCTCCGCTATTGCGTCGTCATCGTCATCGTCGAACAAAATACTCTCACAGAATACCGAATTTCATGCACAACAATCCACAACATCCACAGATTTGAATTTGAATTTGCAGCTCCGACAGAATACGACAAATGCGACAATGTCTCAAAGTCAAGCGGGTCAAGTCCCAAAATTGGAAGGTAATTACCGTTAAACATCATTAATCGCTCAACGTTCTTATCGATAATATACTACTGTTTCCCGAGCTATACAAAAATACCAAAACTATATATATATATATATATATATATATATACGTGAATATCTATATATTTATGTATATGTATATATATATTGCTATATTCAATCAAAAATACCTGTATATGTATAAACTGAGTACAATCACACCCACCTCAACAGTTCCAGAAACAAACACATAATAGATCCATCGATTGTGCTGTCCTTAACGACGAACCTTACGGGTATTCCTCCATCTATAAGTGGTTCAATTTCAATTTAATAGTTTGAGGGAATACCCCTAATGTTCTGCATGCATTTTCGCACACTAAACCAGAAATTCGTCTTCGCTTCGCTACGCTTCTCTCGCTATCTCTCACTCACTTTCACATTCTTGCTCGTAAGCTCGCTCTATCTCTCTCTCTCTCTCTCTTTCTCGCTCTCTCCAAGTATATGACTCTCTTAAGTGTTCAGTTGAGCACTTCTTATGCATGATGGTGCTACTTTATCGATACTACTTTATTTGATATCATACAAAAGTTTTCGAGTGCTTATGCTAGGCTAAGTTGGTAGAACATCCTATATATATACATACATATATATATAAAGCCACAAAGTACCTATTATTATTATTATTATTATTATTATTAAAAGGTATAAGCCTTGCTTAGTTTAGATTACCTATTGCTATGTATCAGCTGGTACATAAGATGAGGTATTTACTTAAAGTATCACTAAGCTAAAAACCCGAACTTAACTTATCTTGTAAACTAAGCGCCTTGTTTAACATTTTGGTTTTTACATTCATACATTCATGCATATATCGTTTGCCTCGATTATTCCACGCATATTTATCGAAGTGGGTACTACAATATAATTAGAACTAAGCCATACACTTAGAGAAACGTATAATAACTGTATTTGATTAAGTACACACACACACTAAATATGCACAGCAACCAAAAAGCATTTTCAGCCCTGTAAACGTTTAAGCTCGTTATCGCTATCGCTATCGATAACGATCGATATCGCTATCGAGCTTGAAACATGTCAAAGCACGAGCACGCACGCTTTGGAACGAAGTGGAATGAAACAACGACAGCAACGGTCAACAGTTGCTCTCTCAGCATGCGAATAAACGAACAAACAACACAGAACATTTAACGCTTTTGTAAATATGTAATATGTATAAAACTGAAACTGAATTTAAACGAATTTAAACGGAACCAGCAAGGATGCTATGCTCTTTGTATGGGAATGTGTGTAAATAACTTTTAACTGCGTATGTATGCATTCCCCTTTTTGGTTTAACACGTTGACAATTACAGCAACAGCAATAATAGCAACCACAACCGCAAACTACAAACAACTAACAACAAACACCAAACAGTAACCAATAACCGCTTTTTGACTCTTACAGTCCTTACATTGTGTTGTCTTCTTTACACACACACACACACACACACACACGCACACCTACACACACACGCACACCTACACCTACACACACACACACACACACAGCAACACACCTGTCCGTTGTCAAAGTGCCGTGATCCAAGTACCAAACAATCAATCAATCAACGCACAGGGTTGCCACTCGCTTGACAAGTTAACTAACCAGTGTCTCCACCCCAAACATTTGAATTTCAAGGCTTTCCAGAGTCACAGGACTACTTCAATCAAATACTGAGTGGCATCAATCACGTGATCAAAACGCACATGAACGAAATGCACTCAAAGTTCGAGTCACAATTCTCGAATATGGCCGGCGAGGTGCGTCGCCGGGATGCGATAATTGCCCAGCTGCAGCTCAAACTGCGATCCATCGAACAGAAATCAACCCTGGCAACCTCCAGCAGCAGCACAACGCGTCGCCTGAGGCGGGAGAAGCTCCCACAGCTATCCGTCGACGATGATGAGCCGGCCGAGCAGGATAATAGCAGTTCTGGCTCCTCCGCCGAGCTGCTCTTCATGGTAAGCAAATGCATTTTCCATTTTGTGTGGGGTTTTGGGGGATTTTACAACGACAAAATCAATTGGTTCTGGATTGGTACCTCCCGGTATTGCCATATATCGGTGCAATACAAAGGCTCTAGAAAGAAAAAAAACAATATCAGTATTTGTTTCTTTCATTTATGTATCTATCTCTTTCTTATTGTCATTCTCTCTCTCTCGTTCTCTCTACCTCTGTCATTTTCACACTCTCATTCTGTCTTTCCCTCTCTCTCTCTCTCTCTCTCTCGCGTAGCGTGGCGATTCGCTGGACACTGTTTTCACATCATCGCCTCCCATTCAGGGCGGTCGTCGAAGCATATCGCCAGGTCCCAGCCGGCATCATGCGGCCTCCGCGAACGCCTTGAACTGCCCGAGCACCTTCTACAGCGGACCGGGCAACCTGACGACTCGGCATGCCCAGAGTCATCCCAGCTTCTATGCGGCGCACGGCAACGGGCGCAGTCGAGCGGGCGGCCTGCCCGGCTATCGTGACTGGCACGAGCAGGCGATGAGTGGCAGCGGCAGCGGCAGCAGCATGACGGTACCGGAGGGCAGCAGCAGTACTATGGGTGGCGGCATGATGGTGTCTGATGTTACGGGCAATCTGCAAAGGTTGTCGGATAGCGTCATCTTGGACATCGGCGAAAGCTCCAGCTCCAGTTCGTCATCCAGCAAGGTGAACATTGCCGCCGATGACGACGACGACGATGACGAGGCTGAGGATGAGCTGAGCGGTGCGGCGTTAGTCAGAGCAACCGGTGGCAGTAGTAGCAGTACCAGCGCCAGCACCGCCAATGATTGGGAGGTGCAAATGCTGGCCGCCGAAATGGAGCGGCAGGAGCGACGGCGCGGACATTCGCTCTCTGATAATCTCGGGGAGCTGCGGCACTGCAGTACCTTTCTGCGCAGGCGTCGCAAGTTTAGTGACACCGAAACCGAATACAGTGAAACCGATCCCGATGAGCGACTGGCCGCTAGTGGCAGCGGCGCTGCAACTGCTGCCGGTAGTGCAACAGCTGCCAGTAGTGCAACTGGTGGCAGTAGCGCAACTGGTGCTGCTGCTGCTGCCACCTCATTGGCTGTGCCAAGTGGCAGCAATCGACCGCGTGCCTCGAGTCTGGATCAGTTCAACCTGCGCTATGGCATTGGACGTGGCATATTTAAAGCAATGAGCATCGATCGTGATAAAGACAAGCTTTGAGTATTATAATCTCAACCACCCACAGCAGCAACAACAGCAACAACAACAACCACAGCAACAGATAAGAACAAATAAACAATAAGCTAAGCAATACAATGTTACAATAGGTACAAAAAATCACACAGAAACCACGATATACAAGCTAACTGAAGTGAAGAGCATTAAAAGATATATGTATACATGTATATATATATATACAATATATACATATGCTAAATATATATTCTCCATATAAGAAAAACCAGGAAAAAAAGATGAAATACAAATAGAGAAAGAAGAGGAAGTATACTATAGAAACCATACAAAGTAGTTTTAGAGTACAAGAAGAGAAGAAACGATTGAATTGAGGCAGGGAGAAGCTATCCACTATTATTCCAGAATCATAGTTTCCTTAACTTACACAAATATACAATTGTCATCATATTGTTATCGTTATCGTTATCACTACCAAATTAGAACATACAATTATCATGTTCTCGTTATCGATAACCTGTTCTATATTTATCGTTATCATAATCGCCACCATAATCGATAGCATATGCCATACGCCTAGTTCTCTCAATATACAATTCTTATGATATCTTTATCGATATCGTGAAATTGTTTTACATCAGCATATACTAGACACAAATAAAAACAATTATCATGCTATCGTCATCGTTATCGTTATCACTATCGTTAATATCGTTGCCATAGTCAAATGTGGCTCAGTTTTAAAACACTGGCAACACTGGCCTTGAATGCAATCAGCCTTACATTTGATGTACGATATTCAACATTTATTCACGTTTTATATGTGTGTGTGCGTGTTTTTTTTTTTTTTTGAATGTGTGTGAATGTTGTGCAAGGTGTGCAAGGTGTGCTAGTGTAAGTGTGCGAGAAAGAGAGAGAGAGAGAGAGACAGACAGACAGTTGCGAGTACCCACATAATACCGTCCTATATACATACATATATGTATAGCTATATGATTTAGAAGGTCCTCTCACTCCATTTATCCTTTGCCTGGGTTCTCTGGAATATAATGGATATGCTTCACTAGAAAATATGGATGTGTGTGGAATGGAATTAAAAAAAATGTATATTCCTCTTATCCTTAGAGAATATTAAGTCCGTAGTTATATACATACACACACAAACACAAATATATATACTATATGTATATATATATGAATTATATACTTATTTATGATATAAAATAGTGTAATGAAAACCGAAAGCTTTAATAACTTATATAGAAAACTATTTAAGAAACGTTTTAAATACTAATCGATTCAAGAAATTATACCAAAAACCAAAAAAAGAACAGAAATTCAAAACCAGACCGAAAACCACAATATAAAAATATAAGAAGGAAAATATAAATCTATATAATTATATATATATATATACAAAGTTATGATATATATATATATATATATATATATATATATATACACACACGCACACATATATACAACTACTTATATACTACCATTAGAATTAGAACTTATTGAGTTGAAGTTGTTAGACCTATCTAAGCGTTAGTCTATCCCTATTCTACACTTTAGAAATGTAGCATAGAACTCTATGGAATACGGCAATACCAAGTACTACTTAACAGTCATTATTTCATCTAGAAACTTTATAATTTATCAGTTTCAACCAATTTTGTAATATCGTATTATAACTTATTGAGTTAGTTCCATGTCGGTTGATCGGTTCTACTTAGCTTTGATATAATACCTTTGATACCTTCTACGTTAGACCAGACTTTTCAGAAAGTCTCTTAGTTTAGTCTCTACCCAAATGCAAAGCGATAGTAAAGCTTAAGTCTTTAAAAACAAAATAACAAAAAACCAAAGCTAAGATTTCATCTATAAGCTAAGCGCTATTTAAATTTAACTCGTAAGCACAAAAACTTAAATGCGAATAATGCAAAATTTCCAACTCAAGAAACAACATGAAATTGCTAAATATTATTTTATAAAAAAAAAATACTGTTTTTAAACTAATCTAAAGATTTTACCAAAACAAAAAACTTGTTGCTACATTATGCTAAACGAAACGAAACGAAACAAAATACAAAAAACAAACACTTTTAGACACCGTCCCTACACCGCCCTAAGCTGCAAGACGATCGATAGCCTCAGCGAAAATATCGATAACAAAATGGAACATAAAAATAAATGCGTACACAACTATTAAAAATGAAAAAAACTTTTACAACACCTGCCCAACTCATTTTGATATTGATTTTAGACCTATCGATAACCGCCAACCTAGCCAACAAATGTCGTTATGTAGTCAAAAGAAAGGCACTGCAGCGTCTACCATAGAGTTTTTTAGCGCCTATAGTTAACAAATGTTGAAACACTACACTCTTAAAGGTATCGCTATCGCTATCGGTATTCCTATAATAAAACCTACAACTATCGTAACTATTGTAGTTAGCGCACGAGTCGAAACTAGGCGAAGCGAGACACGATGCGGCGAGACACTATTCAGATACTATTCAGATATATGTTCTATATGTATACTATTTAACTAATACAACAACAACAACTAACTATTAACTACTGCTTGCTAACAACTAGTTAATGCATTGTACAAAAAGCACCACGATTCTACGGTGTCGATAACGCAATATCGATAACGATAACGCATCAATTCAAGGAACAATTTCAATGGGTTCAATAAATGGGTCACAGCCAGCTAAGCAGTCCAACTAAATTTAATACGAGTACCAACAAGCAAAAAAAAAAACGAAAAGCCAACTTAATCTAACGTTTCTTAATCATCAATATACTTAAGGGTTTATATATATATATATATATATATATATTGTGTATATTGTAGTAAGTACATGATGGTTTTCCCTTTCCGTTTTCACAGTGATTTCATTGTTGTAGCATTGTGGTTGGAGTAGGAGGAGGAGGCCAGGAATACTAATTTCTTAAATTATATACTTACTTACATACGCCAGGGACCACAAAAGTTTTGATTTCTGTTTATCCTTTTATATATATATGTATATGTACGGAAATTGTGACAAAATATAGAACACGAAACTAGCAACTACTATAAATAATACTATTTACTAAAACTAATCTACTACCTAATGGATATTACGCTATAAATGCAACTATGTTAAATAGTAAATTGTTAAATTGTCAGCATATAGTTTGAATTACACATGCACACGCACACACGCGCACTCGCACACACACACACACACACAACTTGTATGAAACTCTGTGAGTCAATTACTTATATATATGAATACTTTAAATGATTTTAGCTACCCCGCCTCGCCCCGCTCCACTCTATGTCTAGTTTCATAGTACTACAAGTTGATTGTCGTTGTTGTTGTTTTTTTTTTCAAATTAATCGATTATAAGTTATCGATATTTTTGTACACTAATTTAAGGTAGCCTTTCTTAAGCATCCCTCTCCCACCACCCACCCTCTCCCAACACACACAAGTCTAGTCTTAAAACCTTAATTTTTCTTCTCTGTCTCTTTCTCTGTTTATTGTTCATTTTGCGCAATGTTAACAGATACCATAGAAAAAATACAACAACAAAAAACCAAAAAGTATATCTAGTTAAAGAAATTTATTAAGTACATAAAGTAAATGAAATTAGCACATGTTAAAGAAACGCAAATAAAGAAACGAATGAGCAAATCGCAAAAATGATATTGATGAAGAAGCTAAAAAAAAACACTAAAAAATAAAACGATAACAAGAACAAGAAAAAGATGAGTGCCAAAAATCTACATCATATCAATTTTACTCACCATGATAAGGTATGATGTCGCTAAAGAAAAGTAACAAATGAAAAGATCACAAATGAAAACTCAAGGTCAGCAAAAACATAGAAATAATTCAAATGCATAAATTGGGAAGAAGCAAGCGAAAATATGCGAAAAACAAATGCAACTAAGGTGAAATATGAAAAAAAGCAAATATATAATAAAATTAATAATAATAATAGCGAAAAAAGAATATTAAATAATAAATGAAAACAAAAAAAAAAAAAACACACACTCAGTATAAGCAAATACATTCGAAATCTTGCAGCATTTTTGCACTGGGAACGGGACACACTCACACAAAAGGGTGTGAGAGTGGGTGAAATAAGTTTCACTGAAAATTTGGTATTTCGATTTTGTCGCGAATTGTCGAGGAAGTCAAAGTACCCTCTCTGTAAAAGCCACAACAAATAAGAATGTTCTAGTCGAAAGAATATACTTATGTACACATAACGTGCAACTCTTGTCGCAATCGATGGCAATCGATTTGAATCGATATCAAAAAAAAAAACGGGTCAGTTATCGATAAAGTGAAGTAAACTCGACAAGTTGGCTGTTTCGAATCGACTATTGATCTTGCTCCATATATATTTGTATATGGGGTGGAGATGGTTTCTTCTGCCTGATAACGATTGAATTTATTATTGTGGTTTTTTTTGCGTTATGACAGTTTGTTCATGCATATATATTTAAGTTGGCTTCACGAACTCTGCAGTTGCAATACGTGACGATACAATCACATAGATCAGGAATGAATATAGTACTCATAGGTTTGCACAACTGTACACTCTTTTTCCATTTACGTTGAGCTCAATTCCTGCAATAAACATATCTAGCTAAAGCGCCATCTACAGGCAAATACTGAACCAAGCAGAGAGCGAAAGCTCTCATTCCTATATGCACAGAGCTTTTGGTAGTTGCGGGGGTTGCTTTAAGCAGCTGGTGACTGGCAGCTGATAGCTAAGAGAGAGAGAGAGAGAGAGAGAGAGAGGAGCAACGCTGAATGTGCCGTTACCAGGAGCAATAAGAAACTAGCAGTCTGGCAACGCCAGAGAGAGCTTTCACGCAGACACGCTTTCATTTTCATCCCCCCAAAAGTGCGCGATGCTGGCGCATTGAAAGCCACAAATTCTTTAACGCATCGCCGAGAGTCGCCACAACACGGGGCACAGTCAGCACTCGACACTCAGCACTCAACACTCATCAATCGACGCGGTGAAAATCCCAAAAAAAAAAAAAAGAACAATCAACCAAAAATTGCATTCAAATTTTTTTTGTGTTTTTTGGTTTAATAACAGAAATTGTAAATTAGAAAACGAAAAACGAAAGACGGCAAACAGAAAATTAGAAAATATGTGTGCGTTGTTTTGGGGATTTTGTTTACAAAATCACTGGCATGTAACGGTAGTTTGACGTGTGTGTGTGCGGGTGTGTGTGTTGCGTGTGTGTTGCGTGTGTGTTGCGTGTGTGTTGCGTGTGTGTGTGTGTGTGTGTGTGTTTGTTTGTGTGTGTGTGTGCAGAGAGCAGAGCGGTGAGCGGAAGCGGAATCGGTAAGTGAAATTTCAAACAAAACACAACAAAAATGATTTGTTTACATTTGCTAAAATCTCAAGTGTGTGTGCGTGTGTATGCGTGCGTGTGTGTGTGCTCGAAAAGCTTGCGCAAAGTGTTGTGATTTTCTATATATATATATATAAATATATATGTGTTTTTTGCTAGCATTTTGTTGTTGTGATTCATAGCATAAAAGTTCCTGGTTGTTTATTTGATTTGCTGTTCCCCAGTTCCCAGTTCCCAGTTGCCCAGTGCTTAAATTGAAATGGCCTGTATAAGGGGTACTCCTCCAACCTCCCCCCGTCCCCACACTCTCCGATTGTAATTATGTAAATTCCGGTTGGGCATACACACACACACGCACACACAGACATACATACATATGTGGAAAACTGCAGCGAACTCTGCTTAACTCTGGACTTTTGCTCTTTACTTCACCTGCTAAATTGTCGAGGGGAGAGTTCTATGGATAGGCGAAAGAGGGAGGGAGGGCGGGGGGGAGTGGATTGATGTTGGTTAGGGTTGGTGTTTGGCCCGCTAATGTGCGTTGGGGAAGGGGAAAGGGGAAAGATGGTGCTGGTGGCCAATCTGATTTATATGCCGCAAAACAATGAAATGATTTATTCAATGGAATTCCCCATTTTTATTTTCACTCTTTTCTTATTTAGTTGTTCTACTTTTATTTTGCTTTCCGTTTTAGTGTATTTTATTCGCCCCTTTTTTTTAGTGCCTGGCATTTTATGATATTGTCAGTTTGGGCTTTTGGTTTGGTCCGCTTTCATCATGAACTAGTTTCCGGCGGGTGGTTTCAAAACTTGCTCGCATACAAAAAGTGACAATTTCGAAAATATCGTAAGCGAATTCTTAAGCATATTTACCTAAAATGTGCAAATAAATGTTCCTAATGTTGACTTAGAGGTAGTGTTTTAAGCAGTGTTTTAAGCCGGAACCGGAACCGTTAGCCGAACGTGACCAATTGAAATTTCGAACGGAAATCGGAACAAAAATTCAACATTTTCTTACAAATCTGATCTGATATTATTACTAACCAAAATATCATAGCGGTACAGCACTGTGCACTCTTTGTCTTGTACCGCAAGGTTCCAATAGTGAAACGAATTACCGAAATAATTTCCATACAAAATATATATCAGAACTGGAACCGATACCCAAACTCGATTTGGTTTGTTTGAAGTTACAGACAGAGAGTTTCTAAGAAAAGAAAGAAAATTCCAAATAGGGTTTTGGTTTTTTAGTTTCCAGAAGAATATACATAAAAAACAATTGAATAAATAAAAAAATCATTTATTGATCAAATTCTTATACGAATTATATTCTGGAAACTAGAAAACCAAAATGCTCTTTGACTTTTTTTTTTGTTTAAGAATAATGTTTTAAATTTTTTGTTGCTAGCTTTAGCTCACCAATACTAATGCATTGTGCTTGATATATAAATTATATGCCGTATGTGGAAAAGGAATGGGTTGACCCTCGTTGAATACTATTTGCCCAGCTGTTGCATAAATTTTCGCATTTTTGTTGCTCGTCTTTGCTCACATACACACTCATATGTGTGTGTGTGTATTTGTGGATTTCATGCTGAAAGAATTTCATAGTTCGGTATCAAGGCAGGCGGCATGACAAGGCATGCTACAGTGTAGCCTTTTCAACCAAAAATACCCTGTACTCACTGCCACTCCATAATGGGGTATACTCAACTGTAACTGCACAACGACTTGAAGGTAGTTTTAAGCCCCACTATTATTATTTATTTTGCTTTTATCTCAAGCACTTAGTTGCTTACCCGTTATAAACTTAAAAATGATTTTTCTTTAATCAAATCGAATTGATTTTAAAGTGCTCGAGTTGGGCATCTCTCACTGAGCATAATCAGAATATTTGCGGCTTATAGAAGGTACTTATTTTCATTTATCTGTTGGCTTCTTAAAGCTGAAAAATATCTTCAGAGTTGCCGGCTGCAGGGTATTCGCCCAGTGAGAAGTTCAACTTTGCACTGCGAGGGTATTTAATCTTCGGCATAGCCAAGACATCTCCTTCAGTCTAGTTGTCTTTTCTTTTTTTCAGTTGCGGTTCAAGTGCGACCCCGTTTTGGGGCGTTGTCGATGTTATGGGGTGAGGGAAGAGGTGGTCGGGTGTTGCCAGTAAAAGAGCTGAGGCTCGAGGCTTCAGAATTGTGAATTGAGGATTGAGGCAATGGCGTCGTTTAGTCCTTGCGCATTTTGTTTCTTTTCTCTCTTGTTTTTTTTTTTTTTTTTTTTTGGTATCGTCTCCATAGCAAAATCAACAAAATAAAAAAACAACAAGCAAGATTGCGCTAGTGGGAAGAGCTCGACTGGGAGATACGCTGCAGCCAGCTATTAAATGCATGGCACGCTATGCTGATTAACCATTTTTCCAGGCATATTACAAATCAGCTCGATATTCGGGGAGTCGAATCATCAATAAAATGTAAGCTTATACTCTACATTATTGAAGTCTGTAGCTCTTAATGTTTCCGACTCCGTTTTGTTCACGGAGAGGCAGGCGGACAGACGAAGAGACAAACATACATGGCTAGATATATGTATATATATAATCGAAATTGCTTTCATCTGTCTGTTACATACTTCGACATAACTATATACTAGTTATAGTTATACCCCTTTTTGCAATTATAATGGGTGCAGGGTATGAAAATCATGGCTTCTGGTTTACTTTCAGCTCAGTTCAGTTTCAGTTTCAGTTTCAGTGGGGCTTTGTTTATAGACCAAGCGAGAGCATTATCAGAATTTGGCCACTTGAAGTAAACAATTGTCATAATTACTATGTATACAATTATCAACCATATATATATATATCCTCATCTCTCTCTCTCTCTCTCTCTCTCAGTAATGCAAAGGCGGCGTTATGGCACTGCAAGGCTGGCGCTTTTTCGGTGTCTCGGCAACAATCATTATCTATATAGGCGGTGTCCTATTTCTATCCATGAACAATATACCCGGCTCTCATCCGAAACGCACACGCATCGAACGATTTGCCGAGGTGACATCTCTCTCTCTCTCTCTCTCTCCCTTTCTCTCTTTCTCTACATGTGAAGTTTGTGTTTTGTATGATTGCAGTTCTCCAGCTTTCATAGTCCCCGGTTCCCAATGCCCAGTCGCAAGATGACAATTCGCTGGTGTCGCGACCTCAAGTATCTAAATCGCGATCTTCCAAATTACACAGATTACAAGGCGGGCGACTACTACAGTGAGTATTGGCTACAAGCGATGCGTTCATAACTAAAAACAAGTCTCAAAATACTGCTTACAAGCATTTCTTTACTTTTAACTGCTTGATCTGAAACTGATATGAATTTGAGCACTTGAAATAAGAATTAAAGCTCTTACTTCAAGTAATGTGTTTAGTGGTTAATTAACTACTTGAATCAAGTATTACAAATACAGATTTCCATTTAACTGATTAATAATGAAATCGCCTGCCTTTGCAGCTGCTCTGCCCAGCGATATAAGTGCCAGTCTGCAGTTACAGGGTATACAGGATATACAGGGTATCTCTGCATCACCCTTGCTGACCGCCTTGGCCAGTTTTCCGGGGAGTGGGAACACGTGGCTGCGATATCTGCTGCAGCAGGCGACGGGCATATTGACGGGCAGCATTTACAAGGACTACGGCCTGCTAAAGACGGGCTTCCCGGCGGAGAACGTGTGCAATAGCTCAGTATTATTGGTAAAGACGCACGAATGGGGCCCCAAGGCCTGGGCGCCCTTCTCCAAAGCAATACTCTTGGTGCGCGATCCCGAAAAGGCGATCATCGCCGAATTCAATCGCCAGAGCGGCGGTCATATTGGATTCGCATCACCCGATCGCTACAGGCGCACAAAGGGCAAATGTAAGAGCACTTAAGCAAATCCTATATAAATCGTACGGAACCGGAACCCGAACCGGAACAGGAATCGTTCAACGCAATTAACCAAAGTGTCAGACCGAGTCCAGAATCGGCATCGGAAGCCGATTGAAATTCAGAATGAGGATCGGAAACAGAATCTAAATTTATAAGTTGATATTATTTGTCCGCAACGGAACCAAAACATATCGTAGCGGAACATCATTATAACTGATCCCGATACCTTGGTGTGTGTTTGTGATTCATGTGTCTGTATTCAAACTGGCAACAAGAAATTACGCCTAAATAACATTGCCTTGCAGACCTCCGTCCAAAATTTTCAAATATCGACCTAGTTAAATATATGTATTTATGCCCGATAATTAATGATTGATTTAACCAAAACCTGCTTAATACCGTTATACTCTTATATCTTTGCAGAGTTTATTATTCTCATTTTGTATGAGTTAAGAAAAAAATAAGTTGAATTTCGGTTCTGATTCCGACTCCGATTCTTAACTTCAAGAGCTTATTTATATATATATATCACTTCGCGCTGATCGGTACTTGCATGGCACACCCAATACTTAAGCCTTGCACTCATTTCATTGTCGTCTTATTTATTTGTTGTGTTTCTTTGCAGATTGGCAACAGTTTGTCAGCAATAAGCTCAAGGGCTGGGAGACAATGAATCTCAGCTGGGCACGCAATTTCACTGGCAGCATCAAGGTTGTGTTCTATGACGATCTGGTGCACAACACGGAGCGGGAGCTGCGCCAAATACTCGACTTCCTCGACTATCCAATCAATGAGGCCCTGCTGCGCTGCGCCATCATGCGCAAGGAGGGCATCTTCCGGCGTAAGAAGCGACTCCTCTCCTTCGATCCGTATACGGATGCAATGCGGGCGGAGCTAGGCACGCGTCGTCGCATTGTCTACAGTTTGCTGGGCCGACAGGATTAACATCAGTTGGCCACTTAGCCACTTTACGATTAAGAATCTAGACTAAATTCATTTCACACACGAAGACGATTTTTGAGCAACGAGCAATAAGCAAAGCAAAGCAAAGCAAAGCAAAAATAATACTTAAAAACAAAAACCACCTAAGAGCAACAACAGTTCTATATATATATATATATATTATTTTTTTTTTTCTCCTCGCGAACACGTCTTTGCTGCTGCCCAAGTCAACATTAATTAGGACCATATTAGATCACAATCGAAGAAAATGTATAAGTTATAGAAGAAGAAGAAGAAGAAGAAGAACAAGTAGAAAAAGAAAAGAACACAATAATATTTGTAATCGTTTTTCCGTTACTTTCGCTGCTGCTTTTAGCGTCTTACTTAGTTAAAAACAAATAAATTAATAAATATATATATGTATATATATATATATATATATATATTTATGTATCAGAGAGACTTGAGCCAGAGAGCGAAACTGGTGTTTCCCTCTCTTCGCGAGCTACGAGACTCGGGTTAGGCTATGAGTATATATACTTATATCTAACTCTGATGTAGTAGATATATTCCAGACAACATCATCCCAATGTCTCTTTAATTTTTTCCCACTTCTGATGGGCAAATTCAAATGCTCTCTGACAAATGAAAGCCAAGTAGGTTAGGTTATATTATGGTGGTTTGAGAAAGAATAAGAATTTAGTTAGTTTGTTATATATGTACATCCTAACTTCCTTACTTGGCATTGCAAGAAACGAACTTTTCTCAAGATATACCAAATTCAAAATGGGGACGCGTAGAACAAGAAAGCTTTAAGTGAATATTGTTGTCAATATATGTATATCGGCACAGCTCTCTGATACGTATAGAGTTATATATGCTAATGTACGGCTTACTTTTTCTTTTGTTTTAGCATAGGTTGTAGGAGTTGTAATAATAATGCGAGCAACGAACGTAAAGTGAAGTGAAGAAAACAGTTTAAAGTTAAAAGGTATTATGATTCCTGAACGAATTTATTAAATTCATTATACGCCATGTTGTGCTTCATCGCTCATACTAAATACGTTTATATGCATAATTGTATATATGTATATGTACATGTATATGTATATCTATATGTTTTATATGTATATGCATACATATATGTATATATATATGTGTATTCCACTGATATTACTCTGTTTATACTGTGTACTCCCGAATACTCGACTATCCTTGTAAAAAATTTTATACACACGATTCTACAATTGAAAAATTTATTGAATATAACAAACAAATGATCATGTTACAAAATTGTACAAAACCAAAACGAACAAAAACAATATCTTTTTGTATTTCCATTATTGGGGTTGAGTTCAAGGATTTTCCTGCGGTTAAAGCATTCTCTGCCAACGCGTAACCCAATAAAACTTTGCACTTCAAAGTCTAGTCTACATTGAGCTCCAATTTAGCAAGGACTAAATGTCCTGTCAGCTTTTGTGCTTGGCCACGCAAGCTTCGAGCAAAAGCTTAAGCAACGTTTCATCAAGGCCAGCAACTTTTTCATCCAGCTTACCGCACAAAGGTCCTGCAAGCTTTTGAAATTTGATGAGCAGTGATTTAGGCATCACACATAGATGGCGCCACCAATGCGAAAATTATAAGCGATTATAACGAAGAAATGTTTGTTTGTTTTGTATTTTGCACAATGAAGACACTATGCAAAAAAAAATTACAAAAAAAATTTTGAATCAGCTCACATTTTATTATCAATACTATTTGAAAATAATGATTTTCATCGACAAGTTTTAAGGAGCTTTCAATAATATCCCTTAGCAATAAGAGAACGACAAAAATTCTGTGAAAAATACGATTTTTGAATTCAAGAAATTTTAGAATTTTTAAATGAAATCGTTTAAGACGAAAAAAAATGTTAACTGAAAATGAAATAAAATTATACGTTTTGAAATATAATACAATATTTTTAAGGGTATATCTAGCAATATCTATGTAGGTGTGTATGCATCTACAGTGGACGCTCGATAATTGAGAAAAAAGGGCAAGTTATTAAAAACATACCTAGAAACGGTAGCTAATTTTGGAGACTTGATAAGAATATATATTGAAAATAAAACATTTTTTGTGTTTTAATTTTTTTTTGTAATTTCGAAGCAAGTGTTACCAATTACCGAGGATACACTGCAGAATTTAACAAGTTTTATATAGATATATGAATTTATATGTGTATATATATATCTAGGATCTGCGAGCTGATTGCAGTCGACGGAGCACTCTGACCCCCTGAGCACCCTGAGCACCCTGAGCACCCTGTATGCGCAATGGCGATGTGCTGCATATGCATTTAACACACTCGCACTTTGCCAATACAATGTATTAACAGGGGGGCGGCGAGATGGGAGAGGATGGGAGGAGATAGGAGAGGATGGGAGGGGTGTCATAGGTAGGCGTTAACCCCCTAACTCACCCCCCCCTCCCTCTCCATCCTCCTGCCACTGACAAGCTGCCCATTGTTGGGCCGTGTTTTGTGCCTTTTGTTATTAACGCTCCCAAAAAAAAATTGTGCCATATGCCGGACACAGGCGAGCATCGCAGTGTGTGCTGAGAGAGCGAAAGGGAGAGAGCGAGAGAGAGAGAAAGAGAGAGTGACAGAGGGAGAGAGAGGGGAAGTATGGAGAGGAAAGCAGAGAATGCTGCTTCTGTTACTGCTGGTGCTGCTGCTGATGTTTTAGGGGTATTTTTTGTCATACTTTGACTTCTTTTTATTTTTGGCTACGACTGGATGGCTGGATGGCTGCATGCGTATAAGTGTTTGCCAGTCTGCATGTGTGAGTGTGTGTGTGTGTGACAGCGAGTACGCAGACGCTGGCAAAATAGTAGCGTCGCCGTCATATTGGCTTCGTCAAGTTGGCTCGCTGCCGCTTCTGCCCAATTCCAGCTGAACGAAACAATCGCTGGCGTCGCCGTCGACGTCAACGTCGCTGTGCTGGCCAATCAGCGTTAAGCAATCGTTCGCTTTCTATATATAGAGATATGTGGGAGCTGCTGCTGTTGCTGTTGCTGCTGCCATTTTGTAGGGGTGGCCGCTTTGGGCACGCCCCCCAGTTCGGCTGCTGAATAATGAAAACGTGTCCTACCCATTGAAAATAAAGTCGGTGAAGTTAGCGAAACTCATCATAGAATTCTTTATCACACAACACAACGTGCGCTTGTCTAGTAGTGTGAAATCTGTTCGCGTTGCGTTTAGTTTTCTGTTTGCGATCTAATACACAGACACACACACACACACAGACACATCACACACACACACACACACACACATACACTCACTCACACCCACTCGCTTATATATATATGCAGAGAACAGCTGTGCGAGCGACAAAAACACAAAAAGAGAGCTGCAAGCAGCACAAACTGCAAGCACAAAAAAAAACACTGCAAGCAGCACAGAGAGAGAGAGAGAGAGAGCAGCAAAAGAAGAAGAAGAGAGAACTTTAAGCGCGGCTTTTGGGCAAAAGTTAAGCTCAGCTCGGCCCAGCACAGCACAGCACAGCGTCAAAGCTATCGCGGGTTGTGTGCAGCGACGTAGCGTCGGCTTACGTGCATAACGGTTAACGGTTAAAGGTTAACGGTAAACAGTGCTTACGCTGCCAGCGCTTAACTCAGACCCAAACGTAGTGTCGTCTCGTCGTGTTGTCGTCGTTTCGAGTATCGAGTTCCTCGTTACGCGTTTCGAGTTTCTCGTTTGTTGTCAATCGCTGCTGGTCATCGCGCCGGTTATCGGTCATCGGTTATCGGCCATCGAAATACGCTCAATTACAGTCAGTGGGCTGGCAATATTTATAATATTGATAAGCGCGCCGCATTGTGCAGTGTTTCTTATTATTCTTCTTGTTGTCGTTGTTATTGTTTTTTTTTAACGTCATTTGCTACACACACACAATACACACAACACATACGCATACGCAGCAGCGCCGACGGCAAAACAAATACCTAATCAATTTTTTTTCTTGTGATATTTTTTGATCAGTATTCAAAACTCCGAAACGAAAGCAACAAAAAAAATCAGTGCAAAAATTTTAAAACAGTGCAAAAATTAAAAAAAAAATAAAAATAAAGAGTTCAATAGCCAGATCAAAGAGAGAAAGAGAGAGTTATTTCATCGGCCGATATACATATATATCATATAAATTTATATATATATATACATATATATATTATATATTATATATATATATATATATATATATATATATATACATACAGATTTGGCGTCCTGCATTGCATTGCAGGACACTCGTTGCAAGTTGTCAAAGTAAGTGCTTCAAAATTTACTCGCCAACAACATTCGACGCCTCAAGGGCGTTCAAGCTGGAGGAGGATTTCGTCGGCGGCTGTATGACAATGTCGATGTATTCGACAACGGATAAAATGAAAATGTCAGCGCCCAGTTGTTTTCCAGGACGCTACAGTCCATCCTATCGAAGTTCGGAGCAGATGCGACGCTGTATGCCAAATCCATCTGTAAGTAATCGAACAGTTTGCATCTAAGCTAACAATGCCCCATAAAGTATTCTCAATTGGTTAAAACCGCCTACTCCCTACACACACACACATATATATACATACACATATATTTATATATACACACACACACACACACACACACACACACACTTAGAACAAATAGTCTATCAGTGAGCAAAGTTCAAATGTTCCTCTTAACTTAAAACTTTTAAATATCTGTTAATATTTCTTTCTTGGTCAATCACAATTAATTTTAGACGTCGTAGTTTTATCGTACATCATAGTAGAAGATCAAAGACTTGTTTTCATTCCCCTTAATATCGATTAATGCAAATCGATAAAACCTCATTTCGATACTTGAAAGCTAGATTATTTACAATGTGTCTCAAAGTTCTGCAATATGAGTTTTGCGACGGAACTGTGGATCTATTGGTCTATGGGTTCACTTCAAGAATACCACTTTCATTTCGTAGTTAATTATATATATATATATATATAGGAGTAGGCGTTAGTGTGATGAAACCACAAGGAATCACGATGCAACCTGGACGAAGAAAAATGTTAGTTGCAATGCAAGCAAAACATTTATAAGTTTGACTGCACATATGTCTGTATATTTGTATCTGGGTTACATGTTTGTACATATGTAGATAATAATAAGCTATGACCGTTTACAATTTCGGCTGGTTCGGAGTGGTTTATTTGTGGAACAATTATAATTATCAGAAATTGAAAGCTACATACACCTATTCTAACAATCCAACCAACTGAAAGCGATGTCTAAAGAGAGACATCACTCTCCAAAATAAATATATAGTATAGTAAATATAATGAAAAATATTATTAGCCCGATCGTGAACCAAGTCTTCCTGGAAATAGAATGTTGTTAAGCTCTGACTGATAAGTTAAACAGTAAATCTTGAAATACCTTTGAATTTGGTTAAGGAAGCTCCCTGAGCGCAATTGCATCTTTGGTTGCTTTCGATATGCGCGTTTTTTTCTTGTTTCCACGTAATTAACAATGCGTCCTGATCGCAGTTGCATCTTTGTTTTCGAAGTTATATTTATTTTGTAAAACGATTTTTTTTCCAAATTTGTATTTTCGAAGCCAGTATTGTCAGCTTAAAAGTATATTCATATGCCTGAATGAATTTCCTGCTATGTGAACTATGATTAGGAATATATAACTTTTTATACTCTCGGGCATGATCTAAATGTCGCATGAAATGCATATATCAAGTTAACTTACTTTGATCGATAAATGGGCATCTCGATAAAAATTTATTTCCGATAGCAATAAAAGCTGCAATTTCAAACTGGTAATTTGACTGTTCACAAAATGTAACTAAATTTGTAATTTGCACTAAAAACTGATAATTTAAGCTTCGTAGTGAAATCTTAAGCCACAATTTGGCAACTTAATCTTAATTTATATTAATTTAATTTAACTACAATTTTTATATTTTTATTTTGCCCAAATTTGTTGAAGTTGAACTTTGCCTCTGTTGACAACTAAAGTTTAATAAACTTGCTTTTGTACAGCTATGGGCTAAGAATAAAGATTGACTTGGGTACAACGATAATAAATGATCTGACTAATGTCTATTCAATATATATATTGTTGAAGTCATTCACTCGGTTTGTCTCTTTGTTGTTCTTGTTGCTGAAGTCTAATTTTGTGTTGCTTTCTTTCTTCAAATTTTGCAATTCAATTTGAAGTCCTTTTTTTATTACTATTATTTTGTGCCGAAGTGAATCAAATGGGTTGCAAGGAATCAATCAATTCAATTTTGTTGCCCCTTTTCATTTTTTTTTTATTTTTATTTTATTTTACAATTTCAGCTGGTTCGGAGTGGTTTATTTGTGGAACAATTATAATTATCAGAAATTGAAAGCTACATACACCTATTCTAACAATCCAACCAACTGAAAGCGATGTCTAAAGAGAGACATCACTCTCCAAAATAAATATATAGTATAGTAAATATAATGAAAAATATTATTAGCCCGATCGTGAACCAAGCCTTCCTGGAAATAGAATGTTGTTAAGCTCTGACTGATAAGTTAAACAGTAAATCTTTAAATACCTTTGAATTTGGTTAAGGAAGCTCCCTGAGCGCAATTGCATCTTTGGTTGCTTTCGATATGCGCGTTTTTTTCTTGTTTCCACGTAATTAACAATGCGTCCTGATCGCAGTTGCATCTTTATTTTCGAAGTTATATTTATTTTGTAGAACGATTTTTTTTCCAAATTTGTATTTTCGAAGCAAGTATTGTTAGCTTAAAAGTATATTCTGAATATATGCCTGAATGAATTTCCTGCTATGTGAACTATGATGAGGAATATATAACTTTTTATACTCTCGCATGAAATGCGCAGATCGAATATAGTTTTCACCAAAAATTATTAATTTAAGCTCAGCTGTGAAATCTTAGAAGTACCTATTAAAATCGAACAAATATATCATTTAAATTTCAGAGGAATAAATCTATTTTTTCTATTTATTTATTATTATTGTGAAACTTTGTTATCGTCAGATCTGCTGAGGCATTTAATAATGGCTTTTTGCTAGGATTCGAATTGAAACCGAGAACTAGTCTGATAAATACAAGCAAGGATGGCAGTTCAACTTATCGAACTTGATATGTATCTAAAAATGGTATTAAAAAATTCACCTTTTCAAAGTATGTATACAAAGCAATGTCTATTCAATTCCGTGTAGCATTTTGTCAGAGGAATTCGTTGCCATAAATGAATTAACACAGCGTCAAAACCCAAAAATGGAAATGTTCGAAAAGTCCTACTGATACATATGTGTTTTTATGAATGCAAATTTTCAATGTACAAACCTTATTTTGGCCATGAGAGCTGCATATTTCTTTGGCATTGATTAATTTGCAATTCTATTTAATTGGGAATTACAATCCGAAGTGCTCTTCGTAATTCATTGATTTGGCATCAGATCCTGTTTTTTGTTTTCTTGCTGGTATTCTAAGGATTGTTTCCCCGTTTGGAAGACCCACTCCAATATTTCAACGTTAAAAATGTTGACCCGAAATTGTATTTACTCAATGAGCCGGCTTGACTTCATAATAAACAACAGAGAGATAACTACCAAAAATATGCAATATGTAGCATAATATATAATACGCCCGACTAGAAAATACCCTGTGGCTTTTTTGCATGCATATATCTTCATAGACCCATGGTATATATTCTATAACACTAAGATTAAAAATATTTATAGCTTGATTATGAAAAAATTAGCAAAGAGCTTAGAGCTACCCGTTCATCTATTGAGTAAAGGGTATATATAAGTAGGAAAATGGAACTTAAAATAAGTAGCAAATAAATATTTGTCTTAATTATTGCTCAAATGTCAGCCGCTCATCGTTAATGGTATTGTTATGGGCTCTATTTGGTAGGGGGAGGGGCTGGTTGTGGCAATGGGGAGGAGGGCTATATGGGTTGTCTTTTTTTCTATTGTTGTTGGTGCTGGTTGCTGGTGTCGCTAATGGCGCCAAGTTAGCAAAAGATGGGCGTAACCTTGAAAAGCGTTTTGTAATTTATGTGCATTAAATATTTATTAACTATTGTTGGGTGACAAATAACACAACAAACAAAAAAAAAAACGTTGGTCGCCATGAAAAAATGCTCAAGTGAAGGAGAGGGAGACAGAGTGAGAGAGCGAGAGAGAGAGAGAGCGTGAGACAAAGATGGAGAGAGCTGCATGCATAAATGAGTAAAGAAAGAAAAAGAGCGAAAAACAGACTGAAACCTTTTTCCAGTCAAATAAGAAACAAGGAAGAAGAAAAAAGGGACACACAAATGGCACACATGCTCGACATGCAGATACCCTGCACCCAGGCAGGATACATGCTTGCCATGAATAAGAGAAAATTCTATAAAACAAAATTACCTCTTACAATACCCTCTTGATCGTCTGCGTCTGTCTCTCTCCAATTATCTGCATTTCCTGCATATTACTTCTTACATAACACATAATACAATCAAATAAAGAGTTAGCTTATGCTCTCCTTGGATTTGACACACTTCAACAAAAACCAGAAAATAATGCACAATCATTCTCTAACTCTTTTTTCACTTCACACATAACATGTGGAAAAACAAGGCTAATCCTTTTGGAGAGTGTCAACAGCAAATGCACAAGAGATACGTGTTTTAATATTATGCGCATTAATGCTTATATATTAATATTAAAAGACGGCTAATTAGCTGCCGTAGCAATATGCAATTGCATGTGGATCGCACTCCAACGAACTCTCCAAACGAAGGCTCTCTCGCTCTCTCCCTCTCTCTCTTTCGCTCCTTCTCTCCCCCGCTCTCTCTCTCTCTCTCTCTCTATACGTGTGTATTTAGATGCATTTGCAGCAGCAGCAAAAACAAACACAAGCATTCATTTTCCTTACAGTTATATAACTGCTTTCATTGCTGTAGGCTTAGGACTACAGACTAACTACAAGATTGGGCTGAGGTTAAAAATCTCTCCATTATGCATATGAGTAGAATTCTGTCTGTCTGTGTGTGTGTAAGGCGTTTAGACAACAGCTGTGAGTGTGTGCGGTTGATGTAAATTGATCAAGCAACTGGCAACTGTGTGTGAGCTACATGAAATGAGTTAAACGGTCGACAACCGTCTTGCAGATAAAAGGCATCCGTTTCCTATCTGCTAGGCTGTTAGATTATTTTACATATCTTCACCGATTTCTTAATGAATATATATGAAGGGGTATACAAATTTGATTGCATGCAATGCACACAGTTCGCATTCCACCTGATGCAATAACACACAACCCACAGCCACCCACACCACCCATCCACCATGCAACATACACCATTCACCATCACCCTCATCCCCCAGCCCCTTGAGATGTAGCTCATTTTAATCTGAGCACGGGGCACTTTAAAAACACTTACTGTAAATAAAAACAACGAACGCGTCGCGTCGCGTTGTGTCGCATCTTCTTAAAGGGACAACAACAAGTACATTTGCTTATCGGATTTAACAAGAAGCAAACTCTCCCCCCGCCCTCGCCCTCGCTCTCTTCTCTCCACTACATCCACCATCCTTCAACCCAACAACCCCCACTCTGCTTTGGGCCACTTTTCGGCTTTCAGGAGGAGAGAGCGCAAAAAGCGTAGGGCAAAAGGCGAATGATCAAAGCGGCGGATTTATAGGATTTATTTGACTACCCTTGGTTGAACTGAGCGCATTATCGTTGTGAAGGGAGAGGGTGCGAGGTACGAGGTACGAGGTACGGGATGCGAGGGGATTGCTCTTTGGCTGGTTACAGCAAACACTTAACGCCTTGCAGTCCATTAAATGGAAATTTGTCACAGACCAAAAAAGAGCGAAAAAAGAGACAAATGGACAAACGGTCGACTGGACAAGTAGAAGGACCAGGACACCACAGCCCTCATTCCCCCTCCCCTTCCCCCTGCCCAGGTTCCACTCCCCTAGTTAGCAGTTGTTTGCATTGAGCGCTAAACGGGAGACCTGCCGTTAATTTGATTTAAATATTCATAAACTGCATTAAATGGCCGCAACAAATGTGCCAATTAAACGCGCCACAAACCAATCAAAAAGCGATCAGAGCTCTGAAAATGCATTAAGACCGCGCTGCCCTGTTCTAAGCGACTGCCCAGATACCCTGTAAATTAGCCCGCTTAAACATACAAGCCAAGCCAAAAAAGCTTGGGTCTGAATTATGCTTAATTCAAATACTTCTGATGAATCGGATTAATTTGGTTTCTTATACAAAAATGCAGCTCATTCCGAAACAACAAGGAACAGGGATATATGTTGCTGATCAGAAATATATATGTATATATACTGGATGGGTTCAAATCCAAATCAAGCTAGAAGTGGAAAAGGTTAAGAATTAATAATTTATTTATTTATTCAAGTTGTTTTTTTTATTCTATTTGCAACTCAGAGACAATTTTCTAAACGTTTTTATGTTTATTGATATTCGTAAGTTTTTCGATACCTTCCTCTTGCTCTTCACCTCAATCATCATGTTTATCAACTTTTTCCCCATTATCTGCACCCTCTACTATTTCTTCCACTGCCTCTTCCCCTCCATCGACATCTGCCATGCCCACGATCACGACTTTTCCTTCAGCCAATGCTGAATTGGCAGCAAAAGAGATCTGCTCATCTGATGATTATTCCACCCAAATATTGAATCTAAATAAAGTTAGTTTCAAATGTTGCTGAGACAAAAAGAAAAAACAAAAATAAATTAATAAGCAGCTGAATTGAAATTCGACGTTTCTGTTAATATTTCACCTGTTTTTCTATTATTGAATGGGGATAAAAAAGAAGTGGGTATTACAATTTTCTCGTGGAATTTGTAACGCATTGATGGAGACGTTTCCGACCCCAATATTTATATATACTTCTGAGCAGCATCAACAGTCGAGTTGCTATCGCCAGACGAGACTAAACTTTAAGAGCTAAGATTTATTATTTGAAGTATTAGCTCTCGTACACCTCGGGCAGATTCAGTTTACTTCACTTATTCGATAACAACCGCAGTGTCACGAATATCGATTTCCAAATGATACAACAGAGCAGAGCGAAAGAGCATTCAGATATTTGTTTTCTGCTAAAAATCGGGGCAAAACCAATAGCAAAACCAATAACTACATCAGTGGAACATTTGAAGTTGCTCTGTCAACTTGATTTAAACCAAATTTTTGCACTTAAAGCTGCACAAGTTATTATGTATTTATTTAGTTGCTTTTCTTGTTGATGTTTTTTTAGTTTTTTTTTTTTTGCATTAGGTTTTTTGGCTGCAGTCGCCAGTCAGAATCGATAAAATTCAACATTCATTCAACATTCATTGCGTATCTGTTTACACACATCATAAATATTAAATGGCTGACAAGCAAAAAAAAAAAAAAAAAAAAAAAGTAACACACACACACACGGAAAAGCGCACAGAGTGAGAGTGAAAATAACACATAACAAGACAAGCGAAAAAAAGAGAGAGCAGAGCATGTGAAACGAGAAGGAAAATAAGTGAATGAATGAGCAGGGCAGCCGTTAACTTGATTAATTTATAACACTAATAAAGAATTTATGTGCAAGTGTCAACCTGCACTGCGGCCTTAAAGCAGTGTACAGTGTACAGTGTACCACTACCGCATCCCTCAAGCACCCCAGGCACCCCCTTGGAATACATACCTATAGGTGAATTTGTGTTTGTATTTGTATTTGTATATGGATATGGGCATGCATTCGAATTCGTAGTGGGGTCAGGTCAAGGAACACAAACTCGCAACTTGGCTACTCTGCAGTATTGCTGCGGGGTGCAACGGGGTACTGCGGGTTGCCGGGCTGCAATAATTTTGATGAATGAGTGCGCATATTAATTCAAATTCATAAATTAATTTCTTGTTAAGCGGCTGCTCTTTGTTTTCCTCGCCAATGAAAAACTGTTGCCTACTTTTCAACATGAGCCAACTTTACCATTTGTCATCGTTTCTTATTGAAGGTGTAGTCGTGGATGTATCTTCCCTGAAATTAGGCTAGCTTGTGTTCAGCTGACTGACATTATTTGAATTATAATGATTAAGTACATCTTTGCTTCACTTGTAATTGCAATTATTAGTTGAAACAAACGAGAACGCGTACATTTGATTGTTTCGGTTGTCTGATAAGAATTTGAATCTTTCTTAAATTACACAAAGAGCAAACTGAAACAGGTATCTGATCCCATTATATAGGGGTAACAAGGGTATAAGGAAGTTATGCAGAAGCATGTAACAGGCAGAAGGAACCACCTCCTATATATATATATATATATATTCATGATAAGCAACAACCACCGAGTCAATATCGCTTTATCCGTCTGCCCGTCTGTATAAGCTAGTCGATCTCAGAGACATTTGGAATAGAATTTCTTGTAAATCAAGTCAATTTTATTTTGAACAAACTACATAAATCGATTTCCGCCACAATTGATATATAATACACACCCAGGCAAGTTGGTGACCATCTATACACACATGCATATGAAATGAGAGGAATTCCAGGCATGCTCACATTTGAGTGTGCAAAACGTTTTAAAGGGAAATTTGGCGATAATACTGGAATATATTTAACCTGAGCTGGGCTCTTGGTATATCGAGCTCGCTCGACTACAGAATTCTTACTTGTTCTATCCAGAAGTTGTAATTATTATGGGAGTTGTGAGTGGAATGGGAAGGGTTTGTTTTAACTGTGCTTGGGCTCGACCTGCCAACAACAACTGACTAGGAATCGGTGGACATTAGCTTGTCCGTTCGTCGCAATGAGACAAGCCGGGCAAACAAACAGTTGTCACTCTCAGAGGGGTATACACATATACATATGCATAAAATGTATATATACATACGTCTAGAGATAACGGTGGCGCAATGTACATTAAAAATGCGCAACATTTTGATTTCTTGAATGGCCGCCGTACGCTTTTTGCGGTCATCCCACTCCGGTCCGCAGTTCTGAGTTCTGAGTTCTGGGCCAGAGTCGAAGTCGGAGTTGCTATCGATGTGGGAGAGTCCTTGCTGCCGCTGCTCTTTACTAGCTAGCTATTGACTCCTTTCGCCTCGCAAACCTTCACAGCCAAATGAGCAACTGTTGTGTACTATGTTCTGAGTCCTCGTCGCCATCGTATTTTCAAGTTTTGTGCGCATCTAAATAATTGATTAACTGTAAAATTCGGGCGCGTTACACACACACACACATGTATATATATATATATATATATATATGGTATGTATCTATGTATGTATGTATGCATATATGTACTTTTTCCAGCATTTAAAATCGATATGAACTCGAAGGACTAAGGACCACAATGGCGACATCGGCACATCGACGCTACCCAAACAAGTGCCAAGGAATTTTTAATATTATTTATTTAGAACCCAAACACGGCGTTAAGGCCCTTAAGGGTAGGGCTTGCTGGGGGCTCGCGGGGGATGAGGTAACACTAACAAAAATCAATATCAGGTACAAGATGCACAAATGATTCGACAAGCTACCTCGATAGCATCTTTAAAGAGGAAAATCCAGCAAAACACTCCATTTGAACCCGAGAGAGACTGTGAGATACCCTGAACCCAGTTTTTGAACACAAAATAGACTTCCACATTGGTTCAACATGAAAATACGTTTTGGTTAACAAAATCTGTGATGCTTATTATATCTTAATTAAATTTGAACAGTTAATCAATTATATGTCTTCGTATTTTAAATATCATTTGGAATTTGGATTTGTGTAATTGGATGTAGCATCCGGTAATCGATTTGTATCGATAACCTAAAATATACTTCATCTGTGTATGGTATATAAGAAGTTACATTACGAATATTCCTCCAAGATGTTTCCCCTTTTTTTGTGGGTTATACGACTCGAACTGAGAGATACACATCAAGGAATTTCCGCCTCTAAATTCATGCATGTTTCTTTCAAAATGTTGTAATTAAATTCGATGCTATTTCCTCACCCAACCCCCCATAACCGCCCGCCCTGAAACTAAACTCGTACATACATATACTATCCCTGTTTGTCTCGTCTTTTCAGAGTCGTTTATTAGAAGATGCTTCCCTATTATGCAATTCGTGGTCAGCACGTCAGAATGTAAGTTAATACGCACCAAAAACAGAAAACCAATACCAAAACCAAAACACACTCTATGATTTCATATACGACATATTTAAATAAATGCTGACTAAGGTTTCCATCCATTTAATACCGATTAAAGTGTCCAACTTTTTGTTGACGCCGCCACCGAATCGTCTCTTATATATATCCGTATGATTTTGTCAATATGTTTTTTGCGATATTTGTATTAAGTTAGTGTTCGGTTCTAATTGTAATTCGAACAGTCTGTTTGAGTAATTGACTAATTTGTGTTCGTTCTCTTCGATACAGGGTGATATTTTTGCGGGTATCAACGATGGCATACTCAGCAGAGCGGAAGCTCTCGCCGCCGTCGACATACAGAAGCACCAAGCCCAGCATGTACATAGCCAAATGCCCTCCCAAATCAAGCACGATGTGATGTACCATCATCATTCAATGAGTGGTCCCCCGCAACGTCCATTACAGGTAAGCTCGATATCCAACCTATACCAATATTTAACAAGCTACAATTGTTATCCACGAAATCTCATATAAGCCAACTTGCTAAGTGGCTATAATCAGACATTTAATACTAACCGGTCTCCGAAAAGAACATTGTAGGCCAAGAAGCCAACTAGCTAAACTATGCATAGCCAGTAGTAAACTCTTCCGATTTTATTATAATGAGAAAGAGCCCTTAAACCATATCATAACCGAGTATTTCGCCTTGGCCAGGAGCAGATGTAGTACCCTAGGGAACACATCGAAACCCTCAAATGATACTCGCATTCCTGCAGGAATTAAGGTTGCGGGAAGAGCCATAGGCTCAGACAATGATAAACACAGAATCTGACAATTAGAACTAGCCAACTTAAACTAACTTAACTTAACTAACTCGAATTGAATTAAAATAAAAGGCATTTCTTAAAAATGCTAATCAAAATTTAGATTTGAGAGATAATTAAAGTGTAAGTTTATAGTTTTAAACAAGATATCATTTAAATGCTCGGCTTACTCACTATTATCCTATCCTTCCAAGTGGATGCTATACTTTTGTATAACATCGATAAATATCGATGGTGTGATGTCAAAGTTTGGATATCTCCATTGGTAAACCCTAGTGGTTTTTAAATGAATATAAAAAAAAATCAAAATAATTAAAATTCGAAACAAAGTATCAACTAAAGCACAATCCGAGCTTAAGCAGATGTATGTAATTTGAGCTTATGTGTGTATTTATATATTTATATATATGTATTTGTATATATTTGTATATATATATATATATATATATTGATTTAAAATCACTCCCATCACAAGCATATAAATAGTAAAGCAGCAATGGCTAAAATTGAAGGATTGTTCAACAATTGTAACCGGAAATTTTCCTCAAATGGTTGATTGCACTCGCCTTAATTTTGGCCACTTTGTGTGTATGTGTGCGGGTGTGTGTGCGTGTGTGTGTGTGTGCGTTGCGGATGTGAAATATTATCCGTTTAGGTGCCCATGCAAGCTTCTACGCTATACAGCATTTTGTGACGAGTCATTCTGATTAAAACAACGGCGACAACTTCAATTTCCGCTTTGTGCTAGCGAGTGTGTGTGTGTCAGTGTGTGTGTGGTTAATTTGAAATGTTTCTTTAATAAAATTAAAATTGTGACGTGTAAGCCTTCTGGGAACGAGCCACGTGACGGTCGTTTGCCAGGTAAGCACATCATGATTCGTGTCGTTAATTGTATTGTACCGCTAGTACTTCAAGCTCAAGGCGGGTCGCGCCCCCTCCCCCCATCCCTCCCGCCAACATCAACATCAACCTCAACCCCACTCACCCAACGACTATCGAGTCTTGGTAGTCGCACATTTTGGCCACTAGCACTACCGGAGGGTAGGAGGAGGTACCCGCTGGCCGACTGGCTGACTAGCTGACTAGCTACCCGGTGTTCCCCGGTTCGACTGGTGGTTGGAACTCTATTAGAAGTTGATTGTAATCAAATTACATAAGCAACCTGTTCCTGTATCTCCCATAGCTAGTTGTTGGGTAGTTATATGTTCCCAGTTCATGTTGTTGTAATGCCACTTGTTTTCGGCACAATCGAGCATGACGAAAGTGCGCGCTGTCCACGCGCCATCGACGCCGGTGGTTGTTGTGGGTTCCCATTCCCATTCGCACTACCACAACGACTACCGCTACCCTATAGCTAACGACCCATTCCATTGCCCTTGCTTGACGTGTGTGTGTGTGTATGTGTGCGCTGCTCGTTTGGGCTTTAATTTTCAGCAAACACTCGTCCCAACACATACTTGAGTCTGACAGAATGTTAACCAACGGCCCCACTCTGTCTATCAGTTCCGAACAATGTGGGCCTCAGGTGCAGCAACAACGTTCTACACTTAGTGTAGTATCCCAGGTACTTGAGAGCATCCCAATCCCAATCGCAATTGCAATAGCAATCAAATCGATCTCTTGAATGATGCGATGTGGTTTTTGTTCTTGGGAGAACAAACTTATAAGTTGTATTCTTAGTAGTTGCTGTACTTTCAAAAAGTAAGCCAAGTAAGTATGCTGAGCACAATTGCTAAATATATTCTGGACACTCAAATGCAAAGCATATATTTATTTAAAAGCCGGCACTGAATGAAGAAAACTTATTCTGCGTAGGGTATACGAGAACTTACAGTCAAAATTTGAGGTCTCTTGCTCTAATAGTCTCTCATACATGCGAGCTGATACAGATGGAGAGACGGTCATGTTTAGAATGACTCAGCTATTGTTCGAAAACATATATACCACTTGGGATTTGTGATCCTGGTCTCCTTCTGCCTGTTACATAGTTTTGGAGAAAACCATTATACCCTGCTTACGCATTTTTAATGATTTCAGGGCATATCAAAATTATAAATTAAATTTTTATAAATATTTTGCATTTCTCACTCTCACTTTCCATCTCTCTTTCTATCTATCTATCTATCTATCTATCTGTCGCTAATATGCGAAAAAATCTCTGAAATGCTCGATTCTTTTCAAAATACACAATCATGACCAGTAATGAGACTTATTCCTTGGTAATTGCCAGCCCATATCGATTCTGTCTCGATTATCTTGCTTTAAATTACAGTACGCCCGTACTTCTGCACCCATAATAAACCCAACGCTCTGTCTCTCTCTCTCTCTCTATTTATCTCTTTATCTCTCTCACTCTGTAGTGGCCAAATTGCTGGCGAGTCTTGAGTGAAATAAATAATCGTAACTGGTGGGAATTTTGGCAGCAGTTGCATTAGCAGCCTTTTAGTTGATGTAAACATTAGTTTGCGACTTCATTTGAAATATTAGGGCAACTACACTCAGAGAAGAAGTCGACCTGGAATTTAGAAATCAAAATACACCTTCAGCGCCAAGGGCAGCTCACCTTATTATTCAGAAGGTATATTTCTAAAACACAAGCTTATGTCTTTCTAAAAACCAGGTTTATTCTTTTCTTAATTCCATGGTTATTTTCGAAGATTTCGAAAAAAATATGTTTAATCTACAGAAAGTTTTTGTTTTTTTTTATTACACATAATTCTTGCATCTAAAATTGTATTACTTCATTCTGAATTTTAGAAATTAATCAGTCGAAAAATAAGACATTCCATTTCTAATTTCTTTGGAAAAAAAGGCCTTTCAAAATGTAAGAAACTGTTTCTCATATCTGTAGACATTATTTAGAATGAATACGAAAATTTCAGATTTCAGGACGATTTTCCAATTTCAGTGCGATTTATTTTCTGAGTGTACAATTCGCCTACGTTTGGACAAATTTGTAAGCAATATTAAAATGGTTCGTGGGAATGACCTACATGGTTGCAGTTGCAACCAATAGCAATATTTTAGTGGCTTTGGCGAGGAGCCCTCTACACATTAGCATTTGGACCGGCACACCCATCGGATCCGAGCCAAGCCACGTGTCCTAAACATTGACGCTCGAAGTTTGCCAAATAGCGATACCATTGATGCTCGAAGTGTGCAAAGGAGAATTCATCTTCCATGTCCTCCTTATCCAGATACCTGTCCATTGCTCGATGCAACTCAAAACTGCTTTGATTTTGGTCTCCTAACACATTTTACGGCATAAGCTGAAAAGTATTTTTGTATTCGTTCTGTTTTGTTTCAAAGGTGATTGGGATTTTCGAAAAATTATGACTGCCTCGATTTCCATTTTTCACAAAGCATCTCCGACCCCATCAGCTATATTCATTCCTGAACAGTATAATTGTATGCCACCGATGCATTCACCAAATACAAATTTTCAACATGTCATCCTCATCCTCATTCTCAGAAGATAAACCAGAGTCTTGGACCATTTTGGCTGGCTCCTTTTATTTCTTCTGCTTTTTTTTTTGCATTTGTTTTTGCCTCAGTAACATTTGAAACTAACTTTATTTATATTCATGTTAAATATACATATATGTATACATAATAACAAACTATCACAATGAAAACAGGAGAAATATTCACCGATCTCACACTTGATCGAAAGAAGGTGAATGCATCTTCAAAAGGAATCAAAAGGCAAAACTTTGGACGTAATAATGACAGATGAGCAGATCTCCTTTGCTGTCAATTCAAAATTTGCTGAAAGAGCAGGGCGTGGTCGTGGTCATTTAAGAGGCCGATGGAGGGGATGCTGAGGTAGAAGATGATGAAGAAAAGATGAAGTTAAGGATTAAATAGTCGATGTTCGTACAAAGATTAAACGTTTAGAAAATTGTCTCTGAATTGCATATGGAAAAAATAAAATTCAATTGCTACATAAATTATTCATCGTTATCCAACCCAATATATATATATATATATATATATATATATATATAAATATATTCTTGGTTAGCATCTTTCAGGGTCTCTCCGTCCGTATAGAGATGTGTGCACGGGGTCTCGTAGTCGACCTCTCTCGACTACAATATTCTATCTGTACTTGTTCAATCTTAACATTATTCTTCACTCCTTTCAGTTCCTCAACAATCCTTCCATTAACATAATTCCACTAATGCGTGGTTTGAAGTTATATTTTGATGGGCCTATCACCCGTACCACACAACACCACACCACACCATACCATATCACATCATTCCCCTTACACCCCCAATGCGCAGCCGGCTCGTGCCATTTTGGCCACTTCTCGTCAACCCCATAGCAAAGTGTGCAACTTTAAAATGTTCCACTTGATTTGATGGTTGCTGTCTATCAATTTCGGGAACATGTGTCATAAGCGTTATGCGAAATGCCATAAAATCCATCCCCCAACCCAACACCAACCCCTCCCAGTCCCAGTCCCAGTCGCAGTCCCAAACCTGGCACCCGCCCCACTTGGCAAAAAACATAACAAAACTCATTAAATTAAAGTAATTTTACAGTAGAGCCCTGCCCTCACCATCCACCACCACCCTCCCTCCATATTTTGGCCTACAAAATGTGCAAGTTTGGGCGAGCATATGAAAAGCCAAT